GTTTACGACATTATCAACAAAAACAAATCTGTTGGCGACCCAGTCAGGTGTACACATCATATTAAAAAAAGATTTCCAACAAAATTGCAAAATGATTGTTATTTTATCAAATGTAGTATTAGATGTTTATCAAAAAGTGTTATAAAAAATTCTATACTGTATATAATATTTATTATTATTATTATTATTGTAGTCGTTGACATTGTCTAGTGAGTTTGCAACATTAGAAAGTCACCTATATATAAACAATTGCAATAAATAAAATAATTACATAAATCTGATATATATATATATATAGACATGTGACAATATGCCCCAGGTGGGGTACATTGTGACATGACCATATGACATGAACAATGCTTAATAAAAAATCTAAAAATCTAATAAAAAACATTGAAGATAAACTGAAATATTTGCTCAATAAAATACAATTATTAACTTTTTCAAATAAAATAATGCCATTTTTTAAATAATTAATAATAAAATAATTTTTGAGTTTGACAGCGAACACACCAGAAAACACAGCTACAAAACATAGTTCAAAACACAACGATAATAAATAATTTCTAAAACATTGACTCTTTATTCCCCCTTTTCTCGTGTTTTCTCAATAGAATTCATACACTCTAAAAAATGCTGGGTTGTTTTAACCCAATTTTGGGTCAAATATGGACAAACCCAAAATGCTGGGTTAAAAATGTAATGTAAAAATTTAACCCAACGGCTGGGTTAGTCCATATTTGACCCAAAGTTGGGTTAAAACAACCCAGCATTTTTTAGAGTGTAGCATAGTTCTAATAGGGGCACATTGTAACGCAGTGTTATGCTCTGCACAACTGGGATTTAAACCCTGCTAGTGACTTCTGCTAGTTAACAAAGCATTAAAGAACCATAGTTCTGTTAAATAACATATTGGAGATTAAAATAATATCAGATTTGTCTAATTTAAAATAAACACCAAAAATAGAGATGGAAAATTAACATAAGAAATTGACTTTTGCTATGGTTAAATACATGTTCAGTGATATCTTCCAAAGATTTCAGAATTTTGGTGCAATTTTTCCTCTATTTTGATATGGCAACTAGTAAATACTCAAGTTTCTTAATGCTAGCATGTGTGGAAGTATTTAAAACAAGGTTAATTGTTACTGTTACAACTAGCCCTGCATTATGTTTTGCCCCGCTCTCCTCCATATGTACCTCTTTTGAGTTTGTTATCTCCACACTGTAACTCTCACCTTTACCGTAAAAAATCGTCTTGGAAGGTACTGATTTTACCATATAAAATCGACTAATATTTTGTATATTCATAAAAAAGTTGGAATGTGAACAAGATGAACTATATGAATTATAGTAAACACTAGAAAAAATACGCTCGAACAAAGGCAGGGACCCCATGACTGTACAGTAAATCTCACAGTGTTGACCCTTCATAAAGGGGAGGTCTGTTTTTCTTATCTTACCGGTGGGTGTCCAGGAAGACCTCCAGTCAAACGGAAAGACAGTTTCTGACAGGCGGTCCACCCTCAGTTTCCATGTAGTTTTGAGTCACATTCTCAGTCTGGGTAATTTCTCATCATCCACTGATTTCTTAACCTGGGGATCCCTGTCTGACTCACCAAAAGAACCTGATCTCAAAAACGTGGGTCTCAGACCCAAAACACAGCTCAGAGACCGAGGACGAGGGGGATGGGGCTTACCTGGGGATTCCTTGGAGGAAGAGGGCCAACTCATCCTCACACACACACCACAACAGAGAATTATTACATGCAGTAAGACAACAGCCCACCTCAGAGAGCTCAGTTTAGAGAGTGATCAGTAAAAACAGACTTTCAGTCACTGCAGTGATAACAGCGTTATGGGATTCTCTTCATTCAAACAGCATTCATCTGAAGCTCAGAGGGAGGGATCAGTTATAGATCACAACCTGATGTAAGTATACTTCTGCTTTCTTGGTGATGGTTTAATACCTTGATGTTGAGACTTTACTGGGGTCTCATCCTGAATGTGCTTAAATAATAGTCACTTTTCCCCCTTAAAGTTATTAAATTTAATGTTCTTCTCATCTAATCAAAGTTATCAGATATTATCAAAGCTGTAGAGCATACAGCATATCAAAGTGAATTTGTTTTCAGAAATGTTATATGTTGCTTTTTATGGGGTGATTTAGTAAATTTATTAGTAACTAATAGTTTCTGAACTCCAGCTGCACTTGATACACATGTCCTCCATTATTACTCTAAACACTTGTAAAGTCACGGGTTTCTATAGGCTACATATTTGTGTGATTTTATTTTACTTATAGCACAGGTTGATAAAATAAAACAAGCTGTTTTAGCATATATATACTTTCAGAAAATACATATAAATACAATTTATGAAAGTAAGATATATATATATATATATATATATATATATAGTAATATAATATTACTGATGAAATGAATGCAATGAAATCTCAAATACAGTTAATTAATCTATACACATTCGCAATTGCATTGATGGCAGGATTTTTCAATGTTCATTATTATGTTGTTTCTCTAAACTTTCATAAAGTGACAAATTGACTGGCTACATTTTGTTGTGTGATTGTATTTTACTAGTATAGCACAGGCTAGTAGCACAAGTTTTTAAACACGGATACACAGATCTGTTCTGTTTTAGCGTATATGGTGTATATATATATATGTGTGTGTGTGTGTGTACATACAATTTTAAACTTTTTGTTTGAAATATCTTTTAATCATTGAAACAGTGTTTTATTGTCTGTTATTTGTTTTATTGTGTTTATGTCTATGCAGCACATTGGTAAACAGTTTTAAATAGTGCTTTATAAATAAAGTGACATACTCTGTTAAAATAATATATCATACAATTTATAAATGTATTATATTTATAGTAGGCCTATATAATATTACAATTGAAATGAATGCAATGCAATTGCAAGTGATGGAATTGTATTTTAGATGTTAATGAATCTAGTATTGTGTTCAGATATAACATTTTTAAATTATTAAGTATTCACTGTTGTCGTTGATGGTTAAGAATGTGAAATATGAATGTAATTCATAAATATCATTTAAATGCTGTCATTTTCAACCCTTCAAATGAATTGGTCTTCTGTCCCTTTTAATTTCATTTCGTCATCAAGATGAATGCACATGGTAATTAAAAATGTAGATTGTGCACACAGTGTAACATAAATACCTACAATGGGTAATTGGGTAATTTTTCAAAAGACTTTAAATACAAATGGTTTTATTTCATGTTCATGTGTGCAGATGCTCATCGTTGAAGACAAAGATCACAACAAAAGTTATCCAGACGCAAAAAAGGATAAGAACTTCAGTTCTTTTTTCTCAACATTATAAGGAAAGTTACCCCTTGAGTGTGAAGTATTTTATTCATTTTCTCATTGATATTAAATGAATTTTTACACCTTATACCTGATATTTTCTGCGAGTAATGTGATTTTCTTCTTTTTGATGTATAAACCAAATGTAGTTTTGTGCACTTTTCTGTATTGAAAGAGATTGGTATATGCAATATAATATATTCTGTTTAAACTTTTTTAACGGTTTAACATGTTTTTTCTACAATTCTTCAAATAAAGAAAAATGTTTCCCTTCCCCACAACAAGAAAAATCATGTTTTTTCTACTATTCCACTAATCTAAATTATTGAAAGCCTGACTAAATGAATAAACTAATGATAAAACATTGGTTTTACAGTTCAGAAACTGTGCTCAACAGTGTAATGGAGGTCTTTTGTTAAAGTCTGTGACGCTCTCCATGCGGCAACGTCTGTGGTCTCTGTGGTGGTTTTGTTTTAGAGTAGCGCTGAGGAGCTCAAAGCTGAACGAGCGATGCGACAGAGATAATGTTCTGTCTTTTTGCACAGGAAGGGGTTTGTTCATTTGCCTCAAAGTATCAGGAAAAACAGCTGCATTTTCAAATTGAATGACAGCACAGCTTCTCTCATACCCACTTTTTGTTTATTTGACACAGACCTTTTATTTATTTTTTGATTACAAGTAGTTTTTCCATTAAATGGTCCTTTTGATTTGAAATGTTATTTGTCCAAATTTGTTTTGTGTTTTAGGTGTTGTTGGTCATTTACCAGCTTTTTACTGGTGTTTTTGTGAGTTTTAGTGGACGAGTAATGTCAGTCCTCAAATTCACACAGGTGCCCTATTATACAGTAGAGTAACCACAGGTGTAGTGTAGCTCATCACATTAACTATCAACATGTGCATTTAGTCTTAGGTAGTCTAGATGTTACATAAAACATATTTCAAGCTAATCCTCGCTGTGATCAGACACAATATCATTCGGTATAGTTTCATAAAGGGAGCACACACCCTCAGAGGGAAACTTGATAACACCCAAACACATAAACCAACACACCCTCAGATATGTAAGACAGGGGGACACCATACAAACAAGTGTCATCACAGACAAAGAACTCACAGAAACACTTAATAATACACTCATTTGAAAGAAAACGTGAGTTTAATTAAACAATGATTAATACAACTAATGAGCATAACATTTAAATCATGAAGAAATCAGAAAACTGTACATTCATACGCAAATTAAACATGCTGTGTTGTCAAAAACAAAACTCAAAGCTTGATAAAAACGTGGGTTTAGTCCGGGTTTAGGGTGAGTTCAGTTTTTATTGTAATCCTGATGGTACGTTCAGCTCTGGTTTAATTCAGTCAAGCCAGACAATGAATCTAATTCATTAAGTGAACTGTTGGTTGAATGAGACATTGAACTGTGAGTACATTTAAAGGGATAGTTCACCCAAAAAAATGAAAATTCTGCCATCATTTACTCACCCTTAAGTTGTTCCAAACTTGTATAAATGTGTTTCTTCTGCTGAACACAAATGAATATATTTTGAAGAATGTTTGATGGACCCTATTGACTTCCATAGTATTTTTTCCATAGTTTGGAACAACTTGAGGATGATGATGACAGAATTTTGATTTCTATGTAAACTATCACACACACAACACTTTTACTTTACAATAAGGTCTTATTAGTTAACATTAGTTAAAGCAATAACTATTATGGACTAACAATAAGCAAAAGATTTTGTTACAGTATTTATTAATATTTGTTAACACTAGTAGTTAACGTGGTAGTTTATGTTAGCTCAGGTCAATTAAAACAGATAACTTTAGATTTTTCATAATGTATTAGTACATGTTGAAATTAACATGAACTCGCTTTGATAAATGCTTTAGAAAGTGTTTTTATTTGTTAGGTAATATTAACTAATGAAACCGTATTATAAAGTGTAGGTATATGTAATGTGTTTTATCAAACTGTAGATACTTTTTGTTTGGAGATGACGAGTCTGTTCTCCACCTCACCGCAACGGATTTGTCCTATGGAGAAAAGAGCATAATAAACGTTCTTTTAAAAAAGCTTTAAAAGCTCATGATATAGTAAAAAAAAAAATATTTAAATGTTTATCAAAATTTCAATGAGCCTAATAAGGCTGTCAAGACACAGGCAATGCAAACATGTAAGGACTTTGATGCGAGGCGCGAGTATCGCAAATCAACATCGACCCACAACTATAACATTCCTGTTTAGTTGCTTATTTTCACGCTTGAAAGACGAAAAGATAATTGAAGGTATGTTTTAATCCTAGAAATAACATTCATTAAATAGATGCTTTGATTAAAAAAAAAAAAAAACAATGAAATATCTCAACTTACTTGGTGAATCGATGTCTGCATTTCTTAGGTAGACCTGTTGTCTCAATGTAAAAAAAAGAGACATTCACACAAATGTTATATAAAATCCAAATCTGAATTAAATTAACAACACATTTTTATACAATAAGTGTTTAAACTGTTACTGAGCTATAAGCACTGTGAAGTACTGTACTTTAATCTACGCATATGGAAACAGTAATGGAAAAAGTTGTGAAGCTCTTTCTTTGACCACTGTGACGTACCAGTCTTTTACAAAGACATATCTGAGTTCTGTGTGTGTGTGTGTGTGTGTGTGTGTGTGTGTACTCACGACTGAAGTAGTAAAGTATGCCTGCAAGTGTAATGGCCAAAAGCAAAAGAGCACCAATTCCCGGCCAAAGCACCACATGTTCACAGCCTGCAACACAATACAAAGAAACCAATAAAACTAAACAGTATAAAATAGCAAGAAATCAGCAGTACAACAGCACGCCTTTGTCCGCACCTTTAGGTGAGTACTGAGATGGTTTGCAGGGTTTGGGATTTACGGGTTTCCGGTCCGTCTTGGCGGTTGGTGGTTGAACTGTTGGAGGATTCACTGAAGAACAAAGACGAAATAACATCCATTGTGGACACTGATTCAAATGAAAAATTCTGACCAAATGAAATGGGTGAGAGTTATAATTCTGAATATGAAGTCAACATGTCAGGTCACGAACTTTCCAGACGATCCCAGACAAGTCAAGACTGCTTGAACGGAACTCTGGGATTCTCAGGCCAAATATCTCGCTGTTTGAATCTCTCCTACCACGTCCCACATTAGTCACATCAGTCATTTATTTTAAGTTAGATGATCTTTTGATGTTCTTAGAGCACCATGAAAGAGGATAAAGACTGAAGATTTGGAAACATCTCCACCTTCATGCCAGGTGAAGATGTCCTTACTTCAGGGATGGAAACGTCAATGCTGGTGTTATTTTACTAAGACGACTCTTTAAACCAACATTTAGTATCTCATTTTCATTGCTTTCCTCAGCCTAAAATTGTCATTCTGGAACTATCGACAACACCATTAAAGAGGGAAACTCAAGTTTTGACAATAAAAAAACAGGGTTGGGGTCAAAACAAGGGGAGCACTGCCCATACCTCCAGGCATAATGTAATATCCAGCAGGAACTACATTCTTAGTTTTAAACATGCAGGAATAGAAGCCGACGTCATCTTTTTGTAGCTTCATGATGCGCAGGGTGAAGACCGTCTTCTGACTAGTGGCCACAGTACCCTTGAACTTAAAGGCTTCGATGTTCTCTCCATGTTGCTCTCTGCCGGCGCTGTTGACATACATCAGAAACTGAAGAGAGTTCTTACTCTCAAGGTACCGGTACCAAAACACCTCCTGGCAGGAATGGTCCGGACAATTACAGTTCAGACTTTGCGTCTCATTGATTTTGGGGTAGAAAACATTCGAAGTAGCTTGGAAGGAGGGCAGAACGACCACTTAGGAGAAACAAAGGAGAAATCATGATTACCGCTTTGTCAGTTATGCACATTTTGAATTTAAGGTTTAACTTTGTCATTTAGCCACATTCAGTTTTAAGTGTATTCAAAGAACATTAAAAAAAATTCAAATACAGTATTCAAAAAATAAATTATATAACGGCAGTTATCAATGTTCCTCGACTTCTGCAGACTTCCTTATGCTAAGCTCATATTACTGGAGCTTTTGAGTGCTAGTTTGTTCGTTACGCACATTTTGATTTTTGAGTTTAGCTTCATGAAATTTACCTATTCAAAGGACAATGACAGTGTAAAGTCAGGTGTCGAAAGTATTACAGTAAAAGAACACAAACATATAGAATTAGAAACTGAAAAAGAAAATAAAAGGCTGAAAAGACATTTGTACGAAAGACTATAGTCAATTTACACATCAGTCAATTTCCTTGTTATGTAAGAATGGAAACCTGAACAGACAGAACTCTATATAGGCGATATATGTTGTCTATATTCTCTTGCAAAACAGTTTTCCTCTCTTATCAGTGTCTGAGGGTGTCTGGCACATATGTGGATATAGATTCATACAGCATTTGAGCCGAAAAAAAAAAAACCCATCATCATTTATGTCAGAGAATGGAACAAAAATCCATTCACGCAATATACAATATTCAGTTTAGTACAAAAAGCAAAATGTTGAGAGTGTGAAAGCATGAAATTGAGTTTTTAGTGAATCGGATTTCCATTTATTGGTTAACACTGACATTTTTTCTTTTTTTTCTTTTAAATTTAAACATACTAGATGCAAATGAGCAATCTGTTCTACATAAACCTGAGTGTGTGAGACTCAGTAACAGTGGATTGGCTTGATAACACTTCTTTTGATAGTCCATTTGAGACATACTAACTATAACTAACTTTGCAACTAAGTCACTATAAGTAGATTGTCTGCTTAATATCTGCTAACACTTTTGATATTGTGATGCTCCTCAAACAGACATTTTACTAACTATAAGTAACATTGCAACTACATGTCAACTTATTCTACTAACCCTAACCTAACAATATACTTATACTCTACTGAGAGTTGGTTGACAAGTAGCAAAGTCACTTATATTTAGTAGAATGAATGTCTAAAGTAAAGAGTTAAACGCAAACATTTGTATAAAAAACGCAAGAAATTTGTAAATTGCCTTAGGATGCAAAACACCTTTCGGCCTAAAGCGAACCACTGAGATCATCATCATAAAATATCTTCGACTTGTGCATACTTCTTTAAGCTAAGCTCATATTACTGAAGCACGTACGTTTTAGGTCTGGTCCCACTATGGAATTTGACGGCTCTTAAATATAATGCGAAGAAAAGTTCTTACCTGCCATCCACACGAACACATAACAGCTCATGCAAGAGAGGGTCATCCTTGGGCGTTTGTGTGTGAGCTGTCAACTGTGTGTCTGTGTTTTCCTTTCTGTTCTTCATGTGTCACACTGAAAGGAGGGTCTGCAGTGTGTGGGGCCAATGAACCAATTACTGAAAGCCTATCAGAGAATGAGTCAGAGGAAACACACATACACATGAAACATCAAGGAAAAATCAGGAGACTTTTCAGAAAAACACATATTTCAAGTTTCGTTTGCAAGTAAATAACAGCTATTGGCTGTTGAACATGCAAAAGCATTATACATTTTACTGAAAACCTCGAACTACACAATTATCATTCAGCGTGCAACGTACGTGCCAACGCTTAGACTGATTTTGCTATGATGCACTGTTTCGAAAAAACAAATGATGATACAATTATGATATGATTTAGTGAAATTTAGTAATGATGTGATAGTATGTTATTTCAACACATTTTGAAGACATAACATCTATTTTGACTGGGTCCTGACAAAAATTCGATGATTTCAGAGGTTCACTCTCGTGCATCAAGTAACTTTTAACAGACACGTTGTTAGAGAAGTGCGAGGATTTAAACTAACGCAGTTAAAATCTATACAACATGCAATCATAATTGAATTGATCTCTTACTTCTGCAAACTTACATGTTTACAAAAATGTGATGAAACCCACAGTTCATTCTATTTAAGTTCCAGTGCATGCTAAAATAATTTGTTCTTCTCTTCTTTGAAACAGAACGCACAGGCTTGCTGAATCCTAAATGCCTTCCCTAAAATGATCTTTAACCCAAACGCAGGTGTGTGACCTGAATAACACCTGCATCTGTCCGCAAAGCACCACAGCTGGAACTGCATCAAATCAACACAAACATAATATTAAAAAAAAAAAAAAAAAAAACAAACACTTGTGAGGAATATCAGACATGCCTGAAATTATTTACAGATCCAATTCAACGTTCTGCTAATACTGGATTAATGAACTGAAACTGAAAAAGTACAGATGTAAGCATTTAATATTAAAGCAAGGCAGTTTGACCTCAAAGTGTTGGTAGAGTATAGGCTACATTTCCCATTTCTGACAGTATGGTGATAGATTTTGAGCGTCGTAAGCAGCCTAGTAAAAGTGTGACACTATGATATATCCAGGACTAAGACGGAATAAGGAAACAAACGTGCCCAATATATATATATATATATATATATATATATATATATATATATATATATATATATATATATATATATATATTATACATTAATAGTTTAATGTAAACAATATTTGGTAGAGTATAGGCTTATAGAGTATATATAGATATATAGATAGATAGATAGATAGATAGATAGATAGATAGATAGATAGATAGATAGATAGATAGATAGATAGATAGATAGATAGATAGATAGATAGATAGATAGATAGATAGATATAGATATATAATATTCTGAAAATGGATATTTGGATGATATTTAATTGAAATATATATTATAATAATATAATAATAATAATATAATATATATTAGTATTTTTTATATGATGTACCATTTTTATATAATATATATATATATAAATTATTTAAAAAAAATCTAAAATATCTCCCCCTCTGGTCACAGCTTGAGTACATATCCATTTTCAGAAAATAATTAAAAGAAAAAATAAATAAGAAAATATTTTCATAGCTTCACACAAACTGTTTATGATAAAATTGTGTAAATCGTGTTATGGCTTGGAGATATCTTCTTATATAACCAAAACTTTTTAATGACTTTTAACAGCGAATTTATTTACTGAAGAAAATCAAGAAAATGCAAGTATTGATGAAATAAATTATGTTAAGTTAAGTCAAACTAACAAAACAAATAAACCCTGATAAACTTGCTCAAAGTAAACATGCATGCTGGAACGCATCTTTTTTCACACAGTGTAAAACCACTTTTACACTGAAATCAATCACATATATAGAAGATCAAAGTTTATTCCAACGCTGTTGGGCATACATATTTAGTTCATAAATAAATCAAAAAATTTTCATCATTCTGCACCATATTTACACTCACTTCAGAAACAGAAAAAAACCTGAAGAACAAAACTGCAGGCCGAGCTCAGTTAAACTTTTGAGCCACAAAGTCAAACCGCTGGTTTTGTTCAGAAGCACAACATTTATCAATTCTTTGAACAAGCCTTAGCCAACATGCTGGTTTTTCACTCCGCATTCTAGATAAACTGCACTAATGAAGTTTTTTTGAGTGTATGGGACTCTGGAGCCTGAAGCTTGTGTGGGAGTTTTGTGATCTCGCTCATTGGCCCTCGTCTCTTGAGAAGGGCTGAAAGGGCTCATGGGCCCGTGGAGGGGTCGTGAAGAGGGGAGGATGTGGCACAGGCACATGCTTCGGAGGTCGAAGCTACGGCAAAGACACAGGGAGTCGAACCGCACGATTCTTTGAAAACAGGAGATCTCAGGGGGCTCGAGAGAACGCGACTGTCGACGGAGGGCTTTCAACTCTGTGGTTACAAAGGCTTAGGAAAAAAGTTCAGAAAGTTCTGAAGTACAAAAACTGCGTGAGAAGGAACAGGTGTTAGATCGACAAATAATATGCATTAAAATGGATTTGAAGATCAGAACATGATCATTAGAATTACAAACATTAGATTTCATCTTAGATGCAAATTCAAGTGATAGTTCATACAAAAATGAAAAACTGTCATTTACTCACAATCATGTCGTTCCATGTAGGCCTACACTACCAGTCAAACATTTGGAATAATTAAGACTCTTTGCATGTTTTTGAAAGAAGTCTCTTCTGCTCACCATATATATATATATAAAAATACAGTAAAAACAGTAATGTTGTGAAATATATTTGCAAATTTCAAATATCCATTTTCATTCATCTTCAGTGTCACATGATCCTTTAGAAACCAATCTAATTATAATAAATCACTTATGATCTCATTTGTGCTTATGCATATTCAAACTCTATCAAAATTGGGAAACAGAAAGTGTCATCCAGTCATCATTGATGATTGGTTACTTTCACTGATGTCAAGTCTCACGTTGAATCTTTGATTTGGTGCAGACAGAAGGGTTTTTTCACTGAATAATGAATTTTGGTCTGTTTATGACAAAAAAAATCTAAATAGTTATAGTTTCAAAATACATGGAATACAGCGCACAAGTCTTTTGTGATAATTTCATGATCCATTGTATCATAATTTCAGCCCAAATCCCATTTCGCATACAAGTTTGGAATGACATGAGGGTTAGTAAATTACAGAATTGTCATTTTTGACTGAATCATCCCATTTCACATGCGAGTATGATGAAACCCCATTTACAATTGTTTTCCGCACAATAAATATGTTCCATGAGAAGTCAGAAAGTTCTCTAAAACCAAAAATTGAGTTGAGAATTGTTTAATGAAGCCATTGAAAATCAGATACGTATGATTTCTTGATTGTGATAATAGTATGAACTCTCAAAAAGGGAAATGCAGCTCTATGCAAGAAAGAGGTCAACAGAGTAGCAGTCGTGTCCTCATTCAACTCCTGCACCTGTTAGACCTGCAAACAAATCTATTCCTGTATGCTGCTGCATTGAATGAGGCTGATGTTGCATTACGATTTCACACACACAAATAAAACAAAACTAAGGATTGCAGTTTGAGCTCTTCTGATACAGGGAAATGTTCACGATATGCAAATCTGACCTTTCAGACAACTCTTCGCATAATTCTCGCCGTTCATTATTGAAGTCTTTCTTGAACCGAGTCAGGGTTTGAAAGGCGTTTCTAGCAGCTCCAGATCCAGTGTGCATGCTGGCAATCAGCACCCCCTTCAGGCTAAAAGTGGAAATGCTTCAATTAGGTCATGAGCATGAGGAAACGTTCATGTATGAGATCTTTAGAAAAAAACAACAACAACAATAAATACTAAATCTATACTGACATAAACAGCGGGAGGGGTTTATTTAATCAAAGCATGAAGCAAGTTGAAGGATACATGGGTGGATGGCTCATGTAGTGTTTTTGCATCACAGCAGACAGCACAAAGTCTAACATTTCTACTGATTTCTCCAATAGAAGAGAGCAGCTCTAGAGACATCCTATATAGTCTGTAGTCCTGAGCATTTCAAGGAATAGTTTATCATCATTTTCTCACCCTCATGTCATTCCAAACTTGTGTGACTCTGTTTATTTTGTGAAACACAAAAGGAGAGGTTTAGGATAGCTTTTTTCCCCACTGTGAAAGTGGATGGATGCTGTCGAGCTCTACAAATGTAAAAAAAAAAAAAAAAAAAACACCTTTTATGTACCAGGTAGTTCAAACAACTTGTGCAATATGAAACTTTTTGAGTCATGACAGCTTTGCATTTGTCAAACGTTGTAGGTTCTTAAGTGTCACGGCAATATGAATAGCAGTTTTAATATGTGGAATTGGAGACAGAAATATTTTCAGTGAATATCAACATATATTTTGATCCATACATCACAAATATATAATGCATTAAGTTGTATTGTCTACATATTGTCTGACAGCTTCCATTCACATTCATTGCATTGGGAAGCATGAACATTGCTCAAAACATCTACTTTCGTGAAATGAAATGAGGGTGAGCAATTGACAAAATGTTCATTTTTGATTCCATAAAAAGGAATTGAGAGCAGATGTATGAAAGAAAGGCCTTAAGAGTTCTTCGGAGAGCATCATTTGCGAGATGGGTCCAGTAGATTTGAGTGCTCTTCTGAGGTCCCGTGCAGTTTTATTCCAACAATACTGTCAAACCATCATCGAACAGTCTTTAAAAAACACCAAGAATAGTTTCATCCCAGAGCCTTTCCTCCTCAGTCCTGTTGTCTTCTTGACTCGTCTTCTCTTTTCCTTTTTTCTTCTCTTTTTTATGTTTTTGTTTGCCATCTTTTGTTTCTGTCCTTTCCTCCACGTGTTCCTCCATCCTTCCCTGTGCTTCCTCATCTCGCACCACGACCTCTTGTTTCTCCAAGAGTTCCTCTTCTTTTTGTTTCTTTGCATGCTGTCCATCCCCGTGCCTCCTACTTTTCTTGCTTGATCTTCTTTTACTTCTGCTTTCCTCATCTTCGCTAGAGCTTCTGTCTCTTTTTCTTCTCTCCTTCAATTTCTTATTCCTATCCTCTTCTCTTTCTACACTTCCTCTCTTGTCTCCCTTCAGCCTCTTTTTCCTTTCACCCCGTTCCGCTTCTCCTTCCCTCCCTCTCCTTTCCGTATCAGACCCGTCCTCCTGATCTCTTCTGCCCTTCCCTCGCTTTCTCATCTTCCTCTTCCGTCTCCTCCTCTCTCTGCTGTCGTAACTGCTGCTGCTGTCACTACTGCTGCTATTATAGGAGGAGCCTGAGAAAGAGGAGGAGCTACATGTCTCAGGGCTCCTCCCTTTTTTATAAAGTTGACCGGGTATGAATGGAGGACGGGATTGTGGCATATATCCTGGCCGATAGTGTGGGACAGGGCCTCTCACCCCAAAGCCAAACTGAGGGACCGGAGACTGGAATTGTGGGGGCCAGTGAGGTCGAGGGAAACTAGGAGGCGGAAAACATGGCATTATTTGGCCAAGATGAGGCATTTCTTCTCCTATTAGTGAACCTTCTGTTGTACTCTCATCCAGAACTTTGCTTGCTTGTCCCACAGTGCCGGGCCCTGCTTTGGGCTCCAGTCCCCGGGCCTTCTGCACCTGGATGTAGTCAGCCAGCTCATCCTGGAAGGAGTCATACACTTTCTTCTGAGATTTGCATAGATCCATAACTTTCTTCTCTCTAAGGACCAAGATGAATTACAAAGTCAATTTCTCTTATTCGGATGACTGATAACAAGCAGATTAGGATTAAAATAGGTGCATGTAAACTATTAATCAACCAATATTGGTTTTCTAATAGCATACGCAAATAAGTAAAATGCAGAAGTAACAGCTATATGTATATGACTATTTTTTTTTTTTTATTAATTTGCAACACCTACAGAACATTCAAACAGAAAAAAATAAACTATGGCAGGATTTTATTGACGAAAGCATATTTAAAAATAAAAAGATAAGTAAATAATTCTGATTTCATTTTTACTTTAAATCTTTTGAACTCAGACAATGTTCACTTGGAAGTTCATTCATGAAAAATCCATTGTTATATCATCGATTATGCAAAAATGTCAAATATTGGCTGACTAATTGGCCAAGCCGATAAATATCGGCCTTTCGCAAAAGAAAGCTAAAGTTCAGTCTTCTAAACCAAGATCCAAACCCTAGTGGCTATGACAAAATATGGCATCAAATGAAATAACTAATGAAAATGACATCACTCACTTGGTGAAGTGTTTGTTTCCCTGCATGTGTGCCTGGTACATCTCTATTGAGCTGAGTGCCAGACAGCATATCGGGCAAGTCAGGGAGCTCACTGTAGTGTGTGAGAGGAAAACAATATAGTAAGAGAAAAAGGGTTTAATAACAAGGAAATAAAGCAAATATCAAATCGTAAACACACGAAACATGAATCTATCAAAATAAGTGAACTGACTACAACATTTCTGTTCACATTAATGGATTACATACAGTATGACCTCTTAGGCCCTCTGGAATTAAGATGCGTTTTGGTCGTTACGATCACAAGTAGACAACACTAAACACAGGTGTAAAACGTTCTGAGCTTGTCCACTTTCAACTACTTCCATAGGTAGTCGAAAAACGCATTCGAACAGCATTCGAACAGATATGCGTTTATTTAAAATTAAATAATTAAAAAACATTATTATGAATATTACTAAATCAAACCATTCATTCATTTATGAATATGAATAAACTAATTTGGTAGATGCAAATGTATATATTATACCATGTTCTGACTGTTCCCCCATCTGGTCCAGCATCTCAGTTCGGGCCTGGTTCCGCTGATGTTTCCGGCCGCTGTAGTGCTGCTGAGCAACCAGAGGGTTGTTGAAGGAAGCGCTGCACAGCGTACAGTACTTGTTGGGGTCACTGAGGTCAACCTCTTGATCGGCCAAACCAGAAGTGTCGCTCTGCTCCTGACTGATCGGGTTTTGTACAGCATTCACTGATGGGAGGGCAACTGGAGATGTGGATTCTAGGACTGCCACTGAAAGTAGAATCATTTGAAAAGCGTTTATGAGAGGTTTTGTCCACAATGGTGGAGAGCCAAACTCAATATATTCCGGTCTGAATTTGACTCACCTCCAGGAGGTGGAGGATTGGTTTTTCTCATGTTCTTGGCATGAACCTTGCCCTCGTAATGCGACTTGGCCACAGTGGGGGAGCTGAACACCATGTTGCACAGCTCGCAAAACTTCTCAGCAGACAGACCTCTCTGTAGCAAAAAAGAACAAAATATGACGAATTAAAGCATGCTAACCCACACTTAAAAGCAATACATGCATATTCTGTATGATCCGTTACATACCAATAGGCCTCCGCTGTCTTGGCTCGTCTTGTTCATATTAGCTTTGTTGTTCAGGTACATCCTGACTCTTTGTGTATGCTTTTTCCCCTGGTAGCATAGAAAGCAGTGTTAGAAATGTTACTGTAGCCCTTTTGAGATAAACTTTAAACGGAAAGACTTCACAAACCTCATAATGAGAAACTCTCTGAGACTCGTGAATCAGGGTTGCTTCGCACACATGACAGAAGTTATCCGTCAACAGGCCTTTGAGAAGATCACTGTCACTCTGAGACCCTGCAGGAAAATCAGACAATAATGTGCACATTTAAACTGAGCTGCTTTAAGGTTTGAAATAACTTGAATGTACGTTTGCGCAAGGTAGCATGAGTGATGTGGTTTGTGTAGACGGGATCTCATTAGCAGATTTTTGCAAATCAGATTTTCATGGGGCATGACATTTAGAATTAGAAATAGATTTTAGATACAAAGTGAGGCATTCAGTAATACTAGTCAAGAAAAAATAGAAAGTACTGTTACGTTTCTCTTAGAAATACAATTATATCTGGTAATCAGAATATATCAAAATTGATTTAACAAATGACGAGCATGAGCAGATGAATTGATGCTCACATAAACTGTTGGACTGATCTAAATGCGACAATTCACACAATAATGGTATCAAGGATGATTTACGAAGGAATTCTTTCTGCTCATATTTTATATTGCAATGAGGCTCAATGTGTGTAAGCAAACATACTAGTAATAGTATATAAGGTTCTTGTGGTGGAAAACTAGTGGAAATGGTACATTTTTTAAAAATACCTAACAGAATTAAGGATGCACCCATAGTTATTTCCATGCTACGCTTGACTGATTAATGACTGATAAATGACAGATATAAAAACTTTAAATTATTAAAAACACACACACAGTCAAATGCCAATATTTAAATGTTAAACCTGAATCTAGGTATCATATTAAACTGTAAAAACTAATTTTAGAAATTATAATAAATTATATTGTGCATCACTAAATAGACAACTAGTGCATGCTGTGGTTTCTTTTGCTAATATTTTAATGAATGCAATGCTGCAATGTACATATCTCTAAATGAAAGAGTGATCTTCATTATTTGCATAAAATGGTGGTCAATTCACACGACAGGACAGTTTGTTCCCTGAATGTGTCGTTTAACTCTCTCAGTTCAAACAATTCAGTCACAAAATGTTCCAAGTTTGTGGATGCTAATATTGCATTAAAATATAAATTTGGAGTTAATGTTTATTTGTTTGTATTGCTGTCTCATAGAAAATGCGCATTATTGATACAATACTTTTTTTTACATAAATGACGAATTAGTTAGTACTGAAAACGCTCTAAAAAGTTTTAAATTTGCACAAACCAGCAGCTATTTAATTTAGGCTAAAATACATTAGCTATCTGGCTAGATTGTTGTTTGATCGTCGAATTAACCGATCTACACGATGTTTTGTTTCATTAACCCCCCGTTTTTTGTCTTATCGTGTATTTTCAGCCGATGCACTACTTAAACAAAAGATTGTTGTTACAAAAGGGATTTTTGTGGTGGTTGTTTAAGGTGAATAATGTGGGTATTAATATTTAGCCTAGCCTAGCTTGTTGGCTCGCTAAGCTTTATTACCACCCATGAATCCATCTCAAACAACTCAAACACAAACATTCGATGCAAATAAACTCCATATGACGGCATTTTTGAAGTTTTTGAAGGGTTTCAACTGATAGACTCACCTTCTTCAACCTGAGAAATATTGGTGTTAGTGTTTTGTACTGTTTCTGGATTGATATCGTCTGTATTTTTGATATTGTCTGTTTCCGCACACTGCGGAAAACACGATACACTAGCTTTAAGCTCGGACATTTCTTTAAACCTGGAAATAAATCAAAACTGAAGTAGATTTAGCTAAAATGCCAAAGCGTTCTACATGTCAATGGCTATGATATGAAGGGAGGCGATGTGCGCATGCGCAGTAGGATCGCGTTTCTTTACGTGCCAGCCATTGAATTGAGCAGTTGCTTACTGCCATCATCTGGTGTTTTGATGTTATAAGCGATTAAATAGCCCACCTATCATCAAAAAGAACATTTGTATTATTAAATAAATGAAATATATCATGATGTCAATGGTATAAGCATAGTTTAAAAAAAATGATTAGGCCTACTACTACTGTAAAATAACAATACAATAAATGTTATCTCTTTCTGTCAGACAGTCAGAATCAATGTCATTTTGCTTAATTTCAGTTAAAATATAGTAAAATATAGTTTTTAAAAAAACATAGAGTTCCAAAACATAGATGTTTGGCATATCAGAAACCTTCATCTGAAATGAATTGAATTAAAGTGAATTATTAACATTATGATTTATTCCTTCAATCTGAGAAACAGGTGAAATGTCATGCATTTCTTATACGTTAACTGAAGACAAATATGAACTGGGCAAAAATAGAGACTCAAAACACAGGAGACATTTCTCTTAGAAAAGACAAATAATAAAGACATTGAATAAAGTTGATTAGTATATAAAAAAGACTATGAAATCAACTGAAATCTGTTAAAATAGTGACATACAACTGTGAATGTACAATAATACAGTGATAGAATCAAATTATATAACATAGTAATAAAGGATATTTCATATTATAGCATTTAGAATTAATTCCTTTTCTCGTGAATTGAACTTCAAATTACTTTATGGTTTGATGCACATAAATCATATCTTTCAGTAACCATTTGGCAAAACAATAAATTAGATATTAAATTAATAAATGAGATATTATCACAACATTATCACTGACCGTTTACTGGAATGCATTAATACTTTTTGTGGAGATTATTGTAAAGACACAAAACACAGAAAATAACTGTATGAGAGTGCGCTATGAGACACCTCCATTTCTCCTTTTCTTCCGGATCACTAGGAGAGCCATGTAACAGACGGTGGCAGTGAGGAGGCCAGTTAGGAGAATCAACAAACCGATCCATGCCGCAGGACACAAGCCCTTCCTGATCCCCACAGGTTCCTCTGGAAGAAGACTGCTCACACTGAGTATATAACCCAAAGCCCAGCCCAGAGAGGCCTCACCTGCCTAAAACATTGAGTAGAGATCGAAAGTTTGCGTACGGCACAGTCACATAATTGTCAAATTTTGCATTTTAATCAGCAGCAAACTGGAAAAAATGTCATGGCCTAATTCAGAAGTTCTATTATGTACAAGTATACTGTATCACCATGTTGATATACTCAACTCACCTTTTTCTGGAAAGCAACATTTTGGAACGAATGTTCATCAAAGCTATAACCCCTAAGCATTAGAACTTGTATATACACTGCAACTGCGCAATAATCGTTCAGATATTTTTTCAAGTCAGGGGCTTTCTTGGTCATCTATAATGAACAGGAGATATGGATATGAATTAGATTTACAGGACTTCAGATATGCAATGCGGCAGTGTATTTATCACAAGCAGTACACATTATGAGCAGTACCTCACCTTTTTACAACTATATGTTTGTCAATCTCATAAACCTTCTAAAAAATATCCAGTTAATATTTTACCCTGAAATCTCTTTCTCATATATATAGGCCTATTAGGGTCTCTTTCATTGTCATATTTTCATTAAAAAACAAAACAAAAACAAAAAAAAACTCAAATTCTCATTACTGTAATGCAAATTACAGTAACCTGATTCTTATTTATCCTGTACAATGCATGAAAAACGAATGATATATTATTTAAATGGAAAGGAACACCATGTTTCAAACATCATAGCAGTATTTGTTGTACTGGTTTTAATTTATGTTGATGGATATAACATTTTGAATTAGTATTTTTAGTAAAAAAAAATGTAAACCAAATATAAAACTAACCAACTAAATACAGATCCAATTTGATTAGGTGAAAATGTGTTTAATTGTCATTTTCAGTTTGAAGTGACATGGACATATTATGAGATTTAACTGATTTATTGGCAAATGGTGATATTCTCACAAATATGCACACACACAAGGAGTAGTTCACTTTAAAAAAAAACTTTTGCTGATAATTTACTCACCCCCACGTCATCCAAGATGTCCATGTCTTTCTTTTTTCGGTCGAAAAGAAATTATGATGAAAACATTCCAGGATTTTCTCCATATAATGGACTTCATTGGGAACCAAACGGTTCAAGGTCCAAAAGACAGTTTCAGTGCAGCTTCAAGGGCTTTAAAAGGGGCTTTAAACGACACCAGACGATTAATAAGGGTCTTATCTAGGGAAACGATCGGTCATTTCGAAAATAAATAAAAAAGTTTAAGTTTTATAACACAAATGCTCGCCGCTCTGTTCTGTGATGCACGTTCGTGACTCTCCTGTTCGAACTCGTTCATCAAAATGAACAAATATTTTTTCGAGTTATGACTCGAAAGTTCCTAAATAAGACCCTTATTGATCGTCTGGTGTCGTTTAAAGCCCTTTGAAGCTGCACTGAAACTCTCATTTGGACCTTGAAACCGTTTGGTTCCCATTGAAGTCCATTATATGGAGAAAATCCTGGAATGTTTTCATCAAAAAAACTTAATTCCTTTTCGACTGAAGAAAGAAAGAAATTGACATCTTGGTTGACATGAGGGTGAGTAAATTATCAGCAAAAGTTTTTTTAAAACTGGACTACTCCTTTAAAACTTATACCTCTTCAATGGTCATATTACACACAGCCTGTGTAGCCTCCTCTAGCTGAGCAGAGGTGCTGATCTTTATCCCTGTACTTTGCTGGAGAAAACGGTGAGTGAAGAAATAGGCAGAGAAGGCCTGAAAGAAAGAGAAATGCATAAGATGCTATTCTGTTAAACTCATCTGACCATTTCTGGGCCCCTCACCCACCATGAATCCCCCACTGATGTTGGGCTGGAAAACTCCATTAAAGGAACACTGAGAAAAGGGGCAGGAGTGAAAGGAAAATATTTCAGAAGTGTTGCCAAGGCAGCTTTGGTAGTCCCCGGCAGGCACGTGCAGAGGGGGGGGCGTTGGGTGCTCGAGCACCTGCCCTTTTGCCCCTTGGTGCCCAAAGTGCCCTTTTGTCAAGACAAAATTTCCTCTCCTTTTTTTTGTATTTAAAGGCACTTTTGTGGATGCCTGCCCCATCTAACTAGTAGTAAAATGAATGAATAATAATTTAGCTGTAAATAAAATGACCCACATGATGACCTTTCACCTGATTCCTCACGCTGCACGCGCATTTTTTAATTTCGCGCGGCTACGCGCAATCGCGCATTCCCAGAGGATATCTTCAACTCTTGCGGCTGCTGGTAAGTGGTGTTCTATTCTCAGCGAAGTGATTTTGATGTTTGTTTACTTATTATAATTATTTTACTAGAACGACGTGAAGAGAGCATGCAGAGAGATATTGTATTGCTGTGTGTAGGCTGTAGAAGTAACGTTAGCTTGCTGTTTGAGGGAGAAAAGTTTCACGGGCGTGGATTTGACTAAAAACTATTATTTGTACTTTAAACTATTATTATTACAGTATTTATTTAAAAAGTTAGTATCTTATGTTTTGTGTGCAGAAGGCTCTGTGAACATCTGCCCTAGTAACGTTACTATTATATACTATTATTGTATTATTATACTATAGCAGCCTGGGTAGAATCTGTAGCTTTAGCAGGTCAGTGAACTAGTGAGCCAGTTCCAAACACTGTCAGCAATCTTTACATCTTGTTATGGTCACATAAAAATGGTTTAATCAGCTAATACCCTATATTTCTGTTTATTTTAATGTCTACAGTCTCAGATCAACTCCAGCAGTATCATCAGCAGCAACAGTAACAACATCAACAGCAAAGGCAGCAAACTCACTTAAGGACTTAAGTAAGAATTTACCATAACAGGCATCACATTAATGTTAAAAATCTTGTAAAGTATTAATTGCTGTTTCTGTTTGCTTTGTTTTTATTTTCATTGTATAAAATGTAACTCTTGTATTTTTGTAAATCACTTTTTGCCATGAAAATAGCCACAGATGCTGATATGCCATTAAATAAAACTATACTGTACTGCACGAAACATGGGCCAGGTTGATTTTGTCCTACACAGTTCACTATAACAGCTGTTCTTTATTATTCTGTATAACAGAGAAGAAAAAGCCATCAGGTTGGGGCAACTTAAGATACTTCAGTTTCTAATCCCAGAGTTATATATAAATATATAAATTATATATATATATATATATATATATATATATATATATATATATATATATATATAAATTATTTTTTTACATTTTAAACTTTAAAATTGTCTTTTCTGTTCTGTTTCTTTTTCAAAACTGCATCAATGCATTTGCTGCTGTATCGATGCAGAATCATCTGTATTGATATTACTGTATTGATATTTTGAGCACAGCCCTATAAAGCCTTGTTTCCATGTGCCCCATTTTATACTTTGAGCACCTGCCCCTCCAGAGGTCTCTGCACGGCCCTGGTCCCCGGTGCCTTGCACTCTGATCCACGAATGAGGGTCGTACGTTTTGGGTCTCCTTGATGCTGCACAAGGCGAGTCAAACACTTCCCCCAGCTTGAAGACATCAGTGAAGTCAGATGGGTAGCAGGGATGATACACTTTGCTAGTATTACCCTGCGACTGAAATTAAGACATGCTAGATGAGTGTTTACTCACAGGACAAAAAGAATCCAAAGAAGTTTGTTTATGACCAATGAAAAAAAGTGTCTTCATAACATACAGTATATTGCAGTATCATTTGATTTGTGATGCATCATACTGTAACCAGGTAGGCCAGGACCATGCGCAGAGCCTCTTCTTTACCAAAGCACAGGTAACTTTGTGTGTAGAGGGAATACTCTTGCCCGTAGAGACGCAAGGTCATATGGTTTCTCTCGTTTTCAACTTTCTCTGGGGTCTCAAAGGTGATCTGTGTGGACGCCCCACCTAAATCCAGTGCTCCGACTGTTTTTCTGCCAGGGTTAAGCCACCGGCCCACATAGCCATACTACATAGTGTGGAAAGAAATGAATAAACAAAGACAGAAAACGGCCACTAGATGGCCCCAGCAGTTGTGGTAACGCAACGCATTCTCACCCCCAAGGCGTCATCTAACTGACGCCTTGGGAAGCATTTTGACCATGCTTCAATATCTGACGCTTTAGGCCATAGATATCTATACAAAGGCTAGATATGTTGTTCACGCTGCTGGCCAATGGAGGTCGACGTATGCACCTGGCGGCCATCTTGTCACAGGCAGCTCGCTCACTCGAAACATTGTGTTAATGGTACATGTACTATTTAAATGACCATAACTTGCTCAATTTTCTACCGATTTTCAAACGGTTTGTTTTGTTATAAACGTCAGAGATGTAGTTATGACACTGCATACTTATGAATAAAAAGTGTATAGATAAATAATCATCCAGATAATTATAGCCACGTTAACGTTTGTAAGAAACCAAACCGTTGGTAAATCCGTCAAGATTTCAACGAGACAAGAGTATTTGTGTTCGTGCTGACCACTCATCTTACATCAGATGCTTACTGACGCTTACTGACGCTTTCCTTTAGCGTCAGTTACTGTAGATGACGCTGTATGATCGCGTCATTTAACTGACGCTAAAGGGCACCTAAAGCACCAAATATTGAAGCATGGTCAAAGGTGACGCCTTGGGGTGAGAATGCTTTGCAGCCAAATCAAGACACTGGCTTAATATTTAGAACTCTGTTTTGAAAAGAAGTGACTAATTATTGACTTTCAGTGATGAGAAAAGATCATACTCTAACAGAATGAAAGTAGGGCAACCTTTATGAAGTTTTCAAGGAGGTAGTTCACAGTGATCCAACCATAAACCCCCTCTTCTTGACCACTCAAAATGACTGCCCCTCGAAAGGTAAATGGAAAAGATTTGATTTTTTGTTTGACTTCTTGAAGAACCTTAAATCCTTTGTCGGGATTGGTAATTCTGGAGAAAATAAAAGACAGAGAAAATGAAATGTATTTGGAGCAGGATGAAAAAAAAACAGTGGCATTAGTTTTAATTATGATATGTTTGTGTTTTCTGAATGAGAACATTGATACATAAAGCTGTGCAAAATGAGGGCATTTTCAAGCATGCCTCAAAAAATTTCTGGGTTGTTTTAACCTCCTCCACTCTGATCGCCCATGGGCGGGCAACAGAGCTACGTCATTATATTTAAACTTATTTTTTTGTGTTTCTGGAGATGCTATCACCCCATATATAGTATCATTTTAAATCTTTTATCAATCACCCAGTGTTTTTTTTTTTACAATCTCAATAAATCATATGCACTGTCACAGAATGAGCTGTTCTAAGATTCAACGCTTTGTGACGTAGAATTGAGCACGGGGTTTGATTGACAGTGCGGTTGTGGCATAGACCCCACCCTCTGTAATCTGTACACCATCCTCCATTGTTTCAACGACAGCCGGTATTGTCTCCTAGAATCATAAGCGTTCTGTTATGGGATGGGATGTTATAATGACATACATAGTAGTTTTCACTTATTTCCGACATCAGAGCCACTGAAAACACAGTGGATGTATTGTATTTTGGAAGTTTAAGTGGGGCCTTTCGTTCGTAAATAAGTTTATGTTTGAGCAAATCATTTTCTGACTGACTGTTTTGTGAACGAGGGTAAATTGAAAGCAGGTCTTGCTTCAAAGTTAATCCTCAAGTGTGGATCGTCGTCTACTGTTTGCGATCCAACGTCACCTTCAGTAACAGTAAGTGTATTCTATGATTTTTAAGCAAATAGTCATTTCAGTCGATGTCAGCCTATTCAACAACAAATGTGTCTAAAGTTGTCGTCGTCGTAGGATGTCTGTATATAATTTAAACCTTGTTTGTATAGCGTGTAACCACACGTTTATAAATATATATATTTTTAAAGATATTATATTAAAAACTGCATATATGTTCTTGTTCTGTAAGTTAGCCATCTTCTCACATTTGCTACAGAAGCACCTGTATGACAAGTAAACATGACACAACAGGTCCCTCGCATAAATGTAATTTCGCTTGTACGTAGCAAACTTTATCACAGTATGTGTTTGTAGTTTCAAAAAATTGTGCCAACATTAGTGTTTGTGTTTGTGTCTGTGCGTGTTGCACATCCATAATTTCAAAGGGGATGCGATTACAACTCTACAAATGCATAAATGTATCAAATAACCGTACTTGAAAAAAAGGGTACAGAGTAAAACGTACTGGTCCATTCTCATTTGTGTTCATTCTTCCGAAGTCTCTTCGTCATCTGGGTCTGATCAGAGACTATTTATATATTCCGATTCAAACATGTTCGGCTGAATGACATTCAAAACAGCGGGTCTCTCACTCTCTCAGCCCTTCTGCTTACCGACTGCCATAGGTCTGCAAGTGATGCCCTCATCCAAAGGCAGGGCGGGGATATGCAGCTCATTTGCATTTAAGGTCGTATGCACCAAAACAGGTCATTTTTAAACATGCCCCAAAAATGAATGGTTATAATGAATTAACTGTGGGGTATTTTGAGTTGAAACTTCACAAATACATTCTGGGGACACCCAAGACATTACTTGTAAAAAGGGGCATAATAGGTGCCCTTTAAATAATATTTATTTTTATGCATAAAAACGTTCAAAACTTCAGTAACATAAGAAGAAAAACACACTCACTTCAGAAGTCTCATACCAGCAGTGGCCCCCAGATACACAGGGGTGCGGTGATGTCTATCTGGGGGAATGTCTCGCATGGCCTCCTTCAAGCATGCCTCGAGGCTGCGGCCTGCTGCACCCCGCTGACCAGCATAAGCAGAGATTCCTCCTCCTGCGCCAAAGGAACACAAAGTGCTTTTCTGTGAACATGCTTACGATGCCTTCTGCTTTAGATGTTTATCTGTAGAGTAAATTTGTTCGCCCTTTATCTGCCTGTACTTTTGAAGAATTTCAGCAAGTCTTTTGACCTTTAACATGACACTCGCTGTACTGGACAACCACGCCTGTGCCATTTAACTTGTCTGCTGGCCATCTGTAGGTGTACAAGGCTGTGTGTGAGGAGCCAGCGTCCAGCACAATCCCGTACTGCAATGGGAGAGAGAGAGAGAAAGAGAGAGAGAGAGAGTGAGACAGAGAGAGAGAGAGAAAAAGTTTAAAAATCCATGTTCAATTTGCTTTTTAGTATGTGATTAATGTATTGTCATAACAGATGTTCTGACAGTGATTTATTCGCAGAAACCACTATATTCTGAGAACGCCCAGCATGTATCCAGTATAATAGAATAAGTATTTGTACAAAATGTGTTTCTGTGCCCTCACACAGTTATTTACCCACAGCTCCCAGGGGTTTACATGCACCTGGTGACTGATGACACACTCTTGGAGACCCAATTCCCAGAAGAATCTAATATAACAAACTGTTCCGAGTCTTCTTTTTTATTTGTTCCAGGGTTCACAAGAAACACGATGACTTCTCAATGTTTACCTTGTGGAGGTGTAAGGGGTATACAGTGACAGACCCAGAACCAGATATGAAGAATGAAGTCCCAGAGTCAGAATTATAAAAAAAAATTAAAGAAAAGTTTTACTGAATAGTTTGCCGTTTTCATTCAGTCAGCTTCAAGACTCACAGGAGTTCATAGGCTGCCTTTTTACAGTTACAAAGATCACACCAGTTATACCATTTCCAAGGTCTAAGCTACGTCATTGCTTACACATTGAATGATTCTCATTGGCTAAGAAATAGAAAAACATAGTAATTTTCCACACATATAAAGATAGACAGAAGCATATCTCCATCGATTATGCAGCTGAAACTCAGAGACACGTCATGACTTTCCAATGCATTCTCATCCTTTAGTGTCATATAGGTGACGCTATATGACAAAACGGCTCTATACTACGCACATGGCACCCGTTATCGTTAATATAACACGCGCTGTGATGGGTAGGTTTAGGTGTGGGTTAGGGTAGGGTAGTCTCATATTACGCTAAAGGATTTATGACGCCTTGGGTTCGCGTGTTAGAACGGGCTGAACCTTCCAGGTCGCAGATTTGGGTTGCTGGGCGCCAGTACATTATGTCCAGAACAACAACTCAGTCAATCTCCAGTAATGGCAGTGGTTCCTTAACCTGCAACCAAGAAGACTAACACACACACCGACGCACTGCTTTTCCAAGGTTGGATTTGGCCAGGCTCTAACTATAAACAGGACAGTCGTCTTAAAACATCAAGATGATGCCTTCTTTCTCTCAAGGATAGCTAAACTTTAGCGTAACTTAAGTAAGACTTTAACAAAGAAATGGTCCCTTAATCTATTTGGCTTCAATGACCCCTTTATGTTTTAACACATTGGAGACCTTTCTCATACACAAAACAAATCCCTTTTTCTCTCTATTTTCATTGTTACTGCATTCAGATATCAAATACAGACATTAGAAAATACATGAAAAGAACATTTCAGTAATCACACTAGTAACTTCTATAACAAAGTAACATCTCACAAGTCATTCAACTCATTTGACATTTAGAAAGAAAAATATTGATTAACACCTTGATTATAATTACTCATCATTACATAGCCCTATACATTGAAGCAGCGGTGGATTCCAATCCACCCTCTTCATTAAGTATCTGTTTATAATGTAATTTTAGATTTGTACTTGTGGTTTAGGATCTGTCTTTCAGATTTGATGTTATTGTCTATGACCCAGAGATTGGATATGAATTATTAGCATCTGGGGGTGAATGTGAAATCAAATACAGGTAAAGTACTATTCAGATCTACTTTGAGAGATAAATTACCCATTACACAACTAGCACAGCATAGTGTGCGCTTAAAACACATAATATTGCAAAAACACCTCAATTCCTCTTTGTACCATTTGCCAAAATCATGCCTTCCTCTACTCAAGATAACCTGCATACAAATGCTAGTTAAAGAAAGAAAGAAAGAAAGAAAAAGAAAATCGTCAAGAATTTATAAGTAATAATACTAACCATGTAATGCGGCCGCTCTCTCAGTTCATGTATAGGTACAGTTAGAAGTAGAATACACACGATCCCAAACAGAAGGAGCGTTCCTGAGGCAACGAACTTAACAAAAAGTTTATCCATCAGTAAAGTTGGGGTCTGCCTGGTGCAATTCGGATAGTGAAGGAGCAAGGGCAGCCCCTTCTCTACAAGCCCCACTGATAGAATGCACTTCATTTACAATTCATATTATTCATTCTTATATCTTAATGAAGATATTAAAAGATTCACTCAATGAACAAATTGTTTTAGATTGGAGTGGAAGCACATGTCATGCACTAATAATAAATCTAAAAATATATATTTTTAATCTTTTGTAGAAAGAATGAGGGAGTGTTCTGAACATTCCTAAATTATCTTTTGTATCATGTTTTGTGACTTTTAAAGGTGTTCACTGGTGCATCTGACTAGAATCTGAGTCATTCTTGTGCAGCAGGACTAAGTGACAGAGAACAGATTTATTTACAAGGGTTCTCATCATTCAGTGCTCATGCACTGCCTCTATTCAAAGGCGGACACAGAAATCATGCTCTGAATAGGACAATTCCTGCCAAGAGCAGAAGAACTTTGCATTAACAAGCCTACTTTGTATCCACACGGCACTACATGTGGTAAGAATTTCCTGTTGGTGTTGAAGAGGGAGGATGAAGAAATGTGTGACATTATCTACATTTCAGTGAAATAGCATGCTTGAGCAGTAAACTCATTTAATGCCAAAATAGAACGACTAAATTTAGTCTGCCCAAACAACCTGATCTTAAATTGAACAAGATGTCAAAAAAGGTTTTGTTTTTGCTTTTGTGTTTACAATACAATCAAATCATGTGGGATTATGGTTTGAGTTAGAATTAGCTTGTAAGGAGAATTGAAAACATTTCTCAAGAAACATTCCAGTTTAAAGATTCACAAGCAGTCAGCACAAGTTTAAACAAGAACCCTTTTATGAACAGTATTTAACTACATTTCAAGCACCACTAGATAAAGATTAACAATTTTACATAGATGGATAAATACAGTGACTTTGCACATTTGAATAGGCATAATTTTCAAGACCATGTAATGACAAACCTTAGGATGCCATTTAAATAAATACAAAACTAAAAATTCAGGAACTAAGTAACCTGAATGTGTGAATTATTTTCTTAATACACACAAAATTGTCACACGGGAAACTGTTAGTTCAGCTCCTCAAACAAACAAAACAGCAACATAATGCATAAATGCACCAAATAACAAAAACAAGAAAACATGCAACATCTCAGTCCTGCTTTTCCAGCTCTGGTGTAGTGTTTTTAAATATTGGGACAACAGATTCCTCCTCTTTGCACAGGTGCCAGACCACAATGCAATAATAATTGAGCAGTAGAAGCAGCAACATGGCAACCAAGGCCAAAACGACCAGAAGGGCCACCACTAGTCTCTTTCTGGTGCAAAATGGGTGCGATGACCAGTGGTCACAGTGGGACCCTTCCTCCAGTGAGTGTTTAGGCGTGGACAGAAAGTGTTTAATCCAGGTCCCAGCAGAAGCAACAGGCAAAAATAAACATGATTCTTTGTCACCCATCATCACAGCAATAAAAAGCCTCTTGTCCACAGAGCAACTGTCACTACCACCTCCCAGTGGTGTCTGAAAAAGAAACATACAGAGATATGGTTAAATTAAGCAGCTTATAGTGTAACACACACACACCTGCTGAAAGAGGGAGCAAAGCCATAGAAGATCACAATAGAAACTTAGTATAGAGAATCAGTAAAGGAACTACCCACAACACCCTAGCAACTGCACAGCAACGCACTAAAACATAATAGCAACTACGTAGCAATGCCATGGCAACCCCTTAGCAATGTGAGTTTTTCACAAACCAGTGCCACTCCCATTTTTCTCAATAAATAAATCTAGTCTTAAGCCATAACAATTTACCACGGCATTTTGTTCACGCTTTAAGAATCTTAAAGTTTGTTTAATTAGTTTTTCAGTGAACTAATTTTACGACAGTGACGAAAGCGGTGGCACTTTTATGACAACTGTCTGGCAGGCAGCATAATTTGGCAACTTCACAGCAAAAACAAAAAAGTATTCGACGAACCAGCTAAAAAATAATTCCCATAGTTTTCCCATCAATAATGTTTAGTCCTCTTTCACTTTTATTGTCTACACAAGAGAAGTAGCCTACGACGTTTTTAGGGGAGGAAAGGGGGCTTGTTTAGGATTGGAGAATCTCTGCGTTAAGTGGAAGAAAGAGACCTCGTAATCAGGTAACGCTCGCCCACTTTACTGATGATAATTATACCGTTTGTTCTAGATGGTGTAAAACAGTTTAAAATCATTTCGACAGACTGAACATGTTTTAATAATTGAGCTAATAATTGAGCACAGCAAAGGCTTAAGCAAACTCACCAGACGCCAGTGTTTTGCAGAGGAACAGTCTTCCCCTCGCTATAGACACCGCCTCTTAAATAGACTGTCAGGCGTTTTCATCATAGGCTACTTTAATTCATATTGCGAGATAAACAAGTGACTTTTTGATCACTACCCCCTTAACGTTGACGTCTGACTAATTTATGCATCTCCACCTCTCCAGAAATGACAGTAGCTAATATTAAACTCTCTGGGAAATGGATAGTGACGTCTTTGTTTACTGAAATACTGGATCTCCAGGTATATATTAAACATGAATGGATATTTCTAGAGTTAATATAATATTACACTCATTATGCTCACAAAATTGAGAAGACAAATAGGCTAGTTGTGGTCTGGAACTGATATGGCACAAATTTATTGGCACAGAAATGTTATTTCTGAATAACGTTAGTTTTGTCAAAATGCAAACATTATGTATTCGTTCGAAGAAATATCTAAAATTAACAAAAACATGTAGCATTTATTTAACTAAGATATATGCACAGGATATGTGTGTTGTAGCCTATGTGTGATGTGATTTATCTCTTTGTGGTTGTGTGTCATTTACAGTGTGACAGTTTCTCATAAAAACATTTCCTTATCAACATTTTCATATGACAATCTAGCAGTCCAGGCAACTTGAGCTGAATTCAAATTTCACATGCCCTGAAATCAGGTATAATTGTTCCTCTAGAGTACAAACCACATTCATTGACCCAAGCAATGAGAAAAGAACATACTGTGCATACATCTGCCAGTTTAAAAAGTCTAAAACCTAAAGTAGAAGTTAACAGTTAGTAAACAGAGGATATCTGCAGTATGTACTAGAAGAATTTGACATAGTTAGAAACAAATCTGTCTAAATCTCTTGATATGAAAACTATTAAAATGAGTGTTTTGTTCAAATCAAACAGCTGACAGTTACATATTTCACATTCTCAAATGTGCATTTTCATATCAAGTACGAGTATTACAATCAACATTTGGCAAATTGCATAAATTTCATATGCATTTAGCTTCTGACAGATTCACATTAAAGTGCTAGGTAAGTGATCTCTCTTACAGGGGAGTTTCCATAAGTAAACATTTACAGTAATCTGTCCTTATTTGTACAGCTTTCGTTGATGTTTCTCAACTCCAGAACTTGGGAACGGGCCAGTTTTGCCATCTAACCAATAGGTGTACGAAACTGCAGCACCAACGTTGAAAATAAAGGGGCACACTTGGGATTTTCTCATGTAAAAGATCTCTGGGGATGCCACACAGAGATGATTTTGCATGAGATGCCAAATGCTAGTTGGATGAAAAAACTCGGCCCCTTGATGCACCCATCAGACTGAAGATGAGAACGACTGTGTAAGAACTTTAAAGAGGAAGAACTGTTTGTATTAGTTGAGTTTGAAGGAGAGTTTGCATGTGTGACTTCAATTTTAATTATATCTCTTTTCTGTGATATGTGGAGGGGTATACAAAATATTTATCTTGTCCCTAATCCTTGAGGGACAAATTTGCATGCATATTACATGCAGAGGGATGATAGAAATGATATGAAAGACAATGATATTTGAAACTGCACAGCTTATGTGCTTGATTGGCTGACATTTTGCTTTATAGATTATAGACAAAGAATAAAAAACAATGAACAGAATGCAAGTAAAACAATAAAAAGTAAAGACGATAAATAGTCATGTATATGATGAATATAATTAATCTTATACGCACTACAGCTAGTTAATTCATTAAATAGCGGCCTTAGAATCGGCCTTGCGACATGAAAAGTTTTGCTTTGTTCTAAATTATACTGTACAATATTTAAACCACTAAATCAACATAGAAATAATCACTAATACTAATAAGAAATGTTTCTACATAATCATAAAGAATTTATACAGAAGAAGTTCTGGTGGATGAAATGAGGATGATAATAATGTATATTAATTTTAGCTTCAAGCTGAAAGTGTTTATGTGTTTATATGATCTGTGTGTTGGCAGCGTTCCAGTGCAGTGTCATGCCATTCCTTTCAGTCCACCATCAAGTTCCGACAGGTCCCATTGGATCTCCATAAAGGTGAAGTGGCTCAGTAGTTCTCGTTCGTGATGGATCCATTGTGCGAAACCTAGAGGAGTTGTACTACAACGCTCCCCTCAAGTTCCTTTTTGTTTTTCTCTAAAGAATGAAAATGTCTTTATGTTAAACTCTCCCTCTCTCTCTCTCTGCCTCACACCACCGTGCTGACAGACGGGTCGGACAAGTTGAGTTGGCCCGTAATGTCTGTGGGTGGGAATTGCTGTAGAAAGAGAGAGAAGGTAGAAAACACAGGACAGAGAGCATTAGTGCGACTGTTACATTTCATTTTCCCCCAAATCCCCAAAAGATATTTCCTTCTTTACCCCTAAGGCAGCACGTAGCATGCAATCAGAAACAAAGACTCAATTATTGAATGCTTCAGATGTCATCATAATGCGTTTTGCTAAATTTTGCCTTTAGCCCAGGACTTAAAAACATTAAAGGCTGTGTTTTACGCTTAAATATTCGGTAACACTTTATTTTGATAGTCCGCTTGACTTTAGACATTCTACGAACTATAAGTAACTTTTCAACTACATGTCAACTAACTGTCATTATAGTATTAATAGACTGTCAGCTTAATATCTGCTAACACTTTATTTTGTTGGTCCCTGGTCAACTGACTACAAGTAACTTGGCGACTAATTCTCCTAACCCAAATCCTATAACCTAACCATAACTTAACAGTCTACTGACAGTCTACTATAATATACTAATACTTTAATGAGAGTTAGTTGACATGTACTGTAGTTGAAAAGTTACTTATAATTAGTAGAACATCTAAAGTGACTATCGAAGTAAAGTGTAACCAAATATTCTATAACCATCCAAGGGCGTTTATAAATAATTTGAAACAATGTGGGAGAAGTGGTCTTCTAGCTATCCTGCTGCCTTAGGAGGTTTTTAGAATAATATTCAAAGAAGAGGAAGCAGGTTCTCTGCTGTGAGATGATTTTTAGGTCACCTAATAACCTTTGTGTTTGTTTATATCAGTAGAATTGGGTCAAAAGTCAAAATGTATTTGGACACTTGTGTCTTACTAGTTAAATATATATGAATGGCATTGCATTGCATAATGTAATATAAACCAACTGACATCTGCCAACCAATGACCTTTGCCAAGCTATTTTTACAATTGCTTTTCACCCAGTTGGCACAATGTGATTTCTAGTGTACATACAATACAAGTTCCCGTCACGTTCAAACTAGCGCCCTATCAGAGTACACAAACACCGTTGTAGTTTATCTGGACATAGTTGGTTCAATTGTTTGACAACCAGAAATGATCAACATACTTTTGTCTTCATTTCGAACAGTGTTACATTTGTTTTATTTATAATTTAAAACCTAAAAAAGCAAAATATTTGACTTTGAGTTTGTTCAGGAATAAATTCCAGGTGACTTCATGAAGTATTTTGTTGTCTACTCTAATGCAATGACATTAATACATATTTAAATTTGGCTTAAATGTCTAAATACTTTTTGGGCCACTGTATATTCATATCTATAATATATTTAATTCTCATTCAGTTGCAGTTCCTGTTTCCTCATCTCAAGCTTAGATGTGTTAGAAGGGCAACAAGCTGTTTTCTCACATGGGCATCTGCAGTGCCGGGTTGGCAAAACACTCAATGGCATGCAGGTGCCCAGTCAGAAGGCAATTTCCACAACATTTTTTTTTTTTTTTTTGCTTTCAATTTCCATTTTTGTAAGCTATAAAATGTTTCTCAGTGAGGCTTGCCGTGTTGCAACTGCAAGGACATTTTGATTAGGCAAAGTATTTTGATCTGACCATATTATTTAATTCTAATTTATTTTTAATTTTGTTCCTTGCTGTGGCAAACTGTGAAACTGAGGCACAGAGAGCTTTTTTTGGTTAAGATATGTAAGTGACACTTTTTGCAGTCTGTTAATCAAGACTGACTAAATGTGAATGTAATATGCACATACCTAAGGAATACATTTACAAAAAAAATGCATATTGATGGAAAAGCAGCAGCGAATATTTTCAGATTGCTATACATTTTAAAAAATAACAAAATTGTTCTGCAAAAACCAAGGACACATGCAATGTTTGGAGTTATGCATATAAATTATGCATTTACTAATTATAGCATGTGTCCTCTTTTATAGCTTACTGTTTTTTATTGCTATGGTATTGCCAATAATTAAGCATATAAGCTCAAAATATGATGCAACAACTCTAAAAGCTAAAGTTAAAGCAAAGGTTCTCATTGTCAAAATCATCATTGTCGTATTGCAGAATAGCGAATTCAGCAATACTTCTGATGACACCGGGAGGCTTTTTCAAAAACAAATTTCTTCCTTGGTGTTGCATCAAGAATGCCCTTAGCACGCCTTAGAGAGAATGACAGAGTTCTTGTTATGTTCACTCAGAAGGCTTGCTGTTGGCACTTCCAAATCAAGCCCACAGTGCCTCCTGGTGAGAGACAGTGAATCAGCAAAAGAGACAAAAAGTGTGTGTATCATCACTACCACAAATAAATGCAACTACTTCTACTAAGGCAACCAAAACACAGTCTCTACTTCTACGACAGATATATTGCATGCTTGCAGAGGAAGAGAGAGGCTGTGTAGCATGTACATCATGTGGGGGACGTTGACAGTTATATATCCATATACATCCACTTATATAGAAAGAGAGGCGACACTGATATCAAAAAATAAAAGGATGAATTAAACACTGTGGATGGTCACTTTGTTTTTCTCTTTTCACCTGGATTGCTGTGCCTTCTCTCCACCGTTCACCACCACCCCAACCCACTTTCCCCATTCTCTTAAACATTTAAAGAGGAAAAAATGTAACGCAATTCCTTAACAAAATGTGACAAAAATTGCAATAATTATACAAATGATAAAAGGAAAATAAAAAGGAAATACCAATTCATAGTGAAATGGATCCATTGTGTTTAGAACTGTCTCAATAACTGGAAAGGTTTAACCATGGCAGCACATTAATTTGTTCTATTTATTATTTTAAGTTTTTAAAAAATAGTAATATTAATTATTATTTAGTGATTAAATGATCATAGTTTTGTGGTTAACACTATATTCCAAATCTTCTAAAGCCACACAATCAGACTGAAATTTGAGCCATCCTTCTCTGAAAGTTTTTCATAGCTCCTACAATCAAACTTGGCTCATCAAACCAGGTTTTATGCCATTGATATCAAACGACATTAGTTTAGCACGTCTTGTGATTTATTTATAAGATTTGGAATATAGCACATAAATAGTTTTTTTTTATCCTTTTTAAAGCTGCTATTATTGAATGGAGAAAAGCAACTTAGACATCCCTCTAAACATCTCCTCTTGTGTTCCATGGAAGAAAGAAAATCATACAGATTTGGTAAAACATGAGGGTGAGGAAATGGTGACAGAATCTTCATTTTTAAATTCTCATTCCTTGAAATAAACTTTGTTAGGACCTTAAAAGAAAATCATTGTTAATTGATGATTCCAAACTCGGAAATGGAAGTTCCGCTGTAAAAAAAGAAATTCGTTATTCCGCATGGCATCGGTTGCTCTGATCAAACACCACAACACCAAAGCATGCCGTCGGGGAAACAAACATTGCAAGATTTGACTGTTCATGATATCAATCACGTCAGGCAGGTTTGCGGACGAGAAACACACATACGCACAACATCCCACCAAAAAAAGGTACACACGTCCACCCGCACTAACACACGCTTCCACATCCAGAGGTTGCAAAAGGGAGAGAAGCAGCCCAGAAACATCAGGAATTGTGCAGCGCCCCCTCCTCTTGGAAAAGCTCTTAGGTAAGAACTTTTTTTCCTGATTCTGACATCATTGGGTTCTAAAAACCTTTCAGCTTAATTCTTAAGGATGGCTATGCTCTTAAATCCTAACTGACAGATGGGGTCTGGATGGTGACTCGATGACTGACTGACAGACACGTGGCCGTGGCCGAGATGCCAGGAATGGAGGAATAACCAGAGAGAAATGCGGCTCTCTTGGTTTCAGACATGACATGTCATTTAAGACAGAAGAAAGAAGATACAGAGAGAGGAGTGGAAGAATAGGACGAGAGAAAGACAGACGCAGAAAGAGGAAGAGAGACCGGTCGAGTAAAAAGAGATGCCATTCCTTAACCTCCTTACCGTGTCTTTGGAGGACCTACGTCTCTTGATGCTGGAGGCCAGGTTGGTACTGATGGACCTAAAAGAGGGTTTCGTTTTTGGCTCGCTGTCTGCTCTACCACTTTTCCTATCCTAAAATAAATATATACGTAGAACAATTATTCATGTTCTTTGGCTGGTTTTCAACTGCCAAAACCAGATCCCTTAATTCCCCGTAGTGGTAAGCTATCTTAAACCCAACAATCTATAAATATGAATGGAAGTCAGACTTGTTTGACATAAAGAGAATTGGTAGAATGCAACAGATTTGGTTGCAAAGAGTGGCAGGAATTTCATATTCTCAAATGGTCTTCCTTGGCATCTTTTTGTGCTGTTTCATAAATACTTGCTGTTAACAGGTTATGGTTGTAGGCACAGAAGAAGATTAGGACCTTTTTGACCCTTCCCTCCCACCGTCCAACAAAGGTGCCCCACACGGCTACTCTCTCGCCTCTACAAATGGTACTAAGGAAATGCACAAGACTGGGTGTGTTTGTGTAAGAAAAGGTCGAATTAAGGTATTCTTACATCCTGAGTCTCTACAGAGGAAGAGGGCTGCATTGGGGAGGAAAAAAGAAAAATAAATAAATATTTATCCACTTGCTTTAAAGATCATATGACTTTAAGATCCATAAGCAAAAGCAGAAGGCAGCAAAATGAGCTTGCTGAGGAAATAATGACATCAAAGCCAAGCAGTCTGTAATATCACAAAACAAAACAACACTCTTATAGGGAAGTACAGCAACCAATAAAATGGCAAGAGAGCACACTATATGAAATAATACTGATCGATACATGAATACTTATAAGAACCCTCTTTCAGCGTTATACTTTTTGTAGGGTATAACGGAAATTCACACCACACATAAGGGACGTACTGCTTCAGGTTATCGGAGAGTTGGGATAAGTACGGTGTGAATTTCATTTAGACTCATGCAGAGGGCAGTAGGAGCAAGGGTATGGATAAAGTAAGCAAAATGTGGACAAGCATACAGTTGACTTTGGCTGAGGATCATCTTCACCTTTGTTTAGGCCCTTTAAAATGAAAATCATTCGACCCCTGCTACCAATTAAAAATCTCCCACTTTGGGACTTACCACAATGTCTTTGCGGTCTAAGAACAACTTTGCGAAACACACTGTTGTTGTGTTTCCTGCATCAGTTTTATGATTTTCACAAAGAAAATAAAGAAGAAGCAAAAAGCCCCATTTGGTTAGAGCACTGTCTATGCATTAGCATGCTGGATCAATGTAGACCGCCGGCACAGTGAGACACATACTGTGCTGCAAGCCTCGACATATTATCTCACGAGAGCACATTCACGCTTCATTTAGTTTCGTATCGTCCTTTTCTTTTTGTTTTCTCATTTTCCGGAAGGCAGTGCACTTCTGAATGGCCTCTGCTCCAAGAGACAACCATTAACCATTAAATTATGGGCAGCATGTTTTTGACATTTCTGTGCTTTTAAGATGACAACAGAACAGCCCAGTGGACAAAATCGCAAATTGGGCAGGTTATTCAGAAGTGCAGTGTGTGTGTTACACGCAGATCCCTGTATGAAGGTGCAGTACACAGAAGTGCAAATGGGGTATTTGGATATGAACATTCATATTGAAGTACACACAAAATATTATACCATTTACACACACAAGCTCTCAAAGATATCACCTTCAAAAAGTTGTGTAAATTCCTATGCAGAAAGGAATGGCTGACAATTCTTCTGTCTGATCCATACAAACTAACTTTAGTGATAGCTTAATATTAACCCTTCACTTTTATCAGGCATAGATCATGTAGACTCCAAATGTATGTTCGCTTGACCTTTCTGCATAAGAGCCTACATGCATGTACATACAGAGACGATTATACATGTGAGGCAGATGACAGACATTGATAGTAAATTGACCTGTTCACAAAGACAAGAGACTGTGATCTTACCTTTCACTGCCACTGCTGTTTATTATATTGCAGCAGTTCTGACCTTTTGTCACTCTGAATAAAGAAGCAGCTTGAGGCTCTCACAGCCTCAATATACTTCTGCCCAGCCCACATCCCACTGGCCCACCCCTCACCAAATATCACAGTCTCACTGGGAAGACCTCCCAGGACTTCCCACTAGAAGACATTGGCCTTCAAAGGACACACAGGTGAGCAAGAGTTTGTAGCAGACATTTTGAATGGACTGTGTTAGACTATAGCATGGATTTGTGCTGGATAAGGCTTTTGAAATATTGGCTTCTATAATATGTTATATGCTATAAAACTCTTGCACTGTTTTTAATGGTATAGGCTGGGACGTCTGTTGCTAATGATGACAATTAGTGCTCTGTCTTGTTTTCTTAATAGCGGTCTGTTCTCTTTAGTATGGCGGGATGGCGTAGGCTAGTAGTATATTTTTTATATTGTAAACATTAATTTTGCAGTCTACATTATCTTCAGCGATTTTAATTTAATCTAACCTTAAAACGCAAAGCGGTTTGAAGCATTTTAGTGGTTCATGCCATGAAAGCAGCTTCATATTTGAACTAAGCATATCAGCAATTTTAAATATACTAATTCGCGTAGCAAAGAATGACGTGGCAACAAGACGGATCAGCTTGTTTTACATACTAAAGATGGAGTCCCAGCCGCACCCACAGCTTGACTCCCTGAGCTCTCCTTAGTGTCCTGTTGGTACAGATAAGAAGAAGGAGTCTGATTGAACCAGTGGACAATCTTAGACCAGCCATGAAAATGGGAAAGAGGGAAGTTTTTCTTTGTTGGCCCTTTTAGAAGCCACGCAATGTAAGTAAGATTGTCCAGCTTTGGTCACGACACTAAGGATTTGTTTATGTATGAAGAACTTGTGAACTAAATCCCTAGTACAAAAAGTAGTTCTTATGTAAAAGTCTGTTGGGAGGTCATTCCCTCATGTTCACCCTTCTTTTTACCGGTTGTGTTGTAGGAGAGAGCTGCCTTACCTGTAGGTTCTTCCTCCAAACGTTGACGGCCGCAAAGGCTAGCTGCATCTGCTTCCTGCGGGCGTCTTTATGGCGCTTGTATGCAATTTCGATAAAGATAAGGAAGATCCCTGCTGCAATGCCCCCAGCAACTAGCATGAAGACACCTGTGAATGAGAGGGATGAAGGAGACTGTCAGACGATTAACTAAGACACAGTACTCTCCGAATCAACCCATAGAGGAGCTGGAGGGGATGAAGCCTCTGTGTGATGGAATCCTACATGTATTGCCCATATATTTATGGCCTGCTGCTGAAAACCATGCAAAATGGATGGATGTTAAAGGTTAATGAGTTTGTTACAAATGTGAACAACCAACATAGGTGAGCAAAAAACAACAACTAAAAGCATTGGACAAAAACAGGCCCCAATACATTACCTACTGTACCTTTTTTGTCCAATCTCTTTTAGGTTTCTCTGTACCTTAAATGGGCCATACCTGCCATATTCTCAAAGGTGAGTGTGGCTGGGGCATTGCTCCTTGAGTCACACTCCTGGTATCTCACCCAGGTTTTATCTAGGTCCTCCATGAAGCCATTCTCATGGGAACTGCAAGGGGTGGTGGAGAGCAGGAAGAGAAGTTCTAAAGTTAATAAGTTGCTTTTGGGAGAAAGTACCGATAAATCCCACAAAGTAACCAAGTAGCACAAACACTTATATGTTCAAGCACACAGAATACAGAGCAGGGATGGAAAAGGGAAATACACAGAGAGAGATGGTTAAGTGTCCAATGATGAGATTTTATACAACATAAAACTATACAGAAGCATATAAAATGCTGCTTCGGCTGGGACAGACCTGAGAATAGCCAGGGACACATTCTGTTTCCAGGGGCTGTCCTTGCGCATGCCTATGCCAAAGCCCGAACGGAAAAACAGCTCTCCCGTGGTCACCAGGTCGCACTTCTGCGAGGCTTCAAACTCCAGCACCGCAGAGTCCCAGATGAAAGCATGCAGCTTGCTGTTGGGGCAGGGGGAAGGGAGGAGGACGGGAAGGGTGGGGAGTTACGGTGCAACAGTACAGTGAGAAACAACACACTCGTGCCACCCGCCCCCACCCACCCCTCTTGTGCGACTTGTGTTACCAGAAAACTAGACTGCAACCTCATAGGCAAATGAAATCCAATGCCGGACGAGTGGAGCTTTGTCCCCCATTGGATTCCCTCAATGACGTTTTTGCTGAAAACCTGAAAAAGTTGTTCTTTAGCTTATTGTTAATATATGTTATGTGTGGCACATAGCCAGGCCTCTCGTGAGAAGGGATGTGGGCCAGGGTCACAGGTTAGTGCAGAAAGTTCTGGCACTGATTTATATACCTGAGACCTACAGGCCCAGGACCCTCAAGACCGTGTGACTGATTGACTGACCGTGAGGCCAGACCTACTGGTGTCTACCCAGCAGGGACTCACTTGTCCCGAACAGCCTGGATGGCTTCAGCGGCGCTCTCATAGTTGTGCTTTTCCATGTGGCGGTACATGGTGCTCAGCTCAACTTGTCGCCGGAAGTAAATATCCACCGAACTCTGCTTCACTGTGGCATAGATGAACTTGTCTGATGGGTTCCTTAGCTGGAAAAAGTGCAAACATACTGTATACATCTTAGAAAGCTTTACTTTGGTACTTCAAGTGCTTAGAGAAACATACCCTTGGGTCATTGATGCCGGTGATGCGCTCCTCAGGCCGGTCCAACACCAGGAAGGCAGCCAGGTTGGCAGTATAAGATGCTACTATAATCATAGCAAAGCCAGCCCACACCATTCCCAAAATTCTTGCTGAAAAGCTTCGTGGGGCACCTGGACAACATGTAAGTAGTCATGTAACATATGTCAAATAAAATTGATTTGTTTAATTTAACATGACCAGAAGCAGAGTTTGACTTTCACAACACCTTCTCCGATTCCAGAGTTCAACAAGACGCCCCAGGAAAACCACATAGCTGAAGATAAGGTGAGGGCATCCTCTTCTTCTTCTTCACTGTTTACTTTAAACCTTCCAAATGGGCTGGAAAAACCATGTGAAACAGTGAACATGATCAGAAAGAAAATAGGTAAAGGAACCCAGTAGTTGTCCTGAACCAAATTTTCCAGTATTCCAATGAGAACCAATTTCTGGTTCGCTTAGCACTTGCCAGTACCAAAGAGAGAATTATAAAGCCGTGGAAGCCAAACAAAGTGTCAGAGAGAAGACAGAAAGAGAGGGAAAAGAGAACAGGCTCACAGAGTGCAGCCACTCAACCTCCATGGCGACACTAACAATGAAATGTGTTCAGCACTCTTATGTACTGTTGAGACATCCTGAAACAAAGGTGCTACACGATCCCAATGAGTAAAACAAACTACCTAAAAAGACAGAACAAACACGCACACACACTCACACAGCACCCTAAGGAACAGCTAGCAACACTCTCAACCCAATGTCTTGTTGTACCTGAACCGGTCTAGTAGGTAAAGCATCACCGCCACCACATGTACCGACAGACCCACCAGTAGCCACAGTGTGCTCTGAAATGGCTGCATGAACGAGTCCAGTGTACTACGAGGAATTTCCTGAAACACACATTGCATGGTCACGTACAAACATTTAGGACACATTCCATTCACTCAATACCTGCTCGGTAGGTGCCAGCACTACTGTAACGAGACTAGCAAATGGTGACTAGCAATGCTGCTATTTTCAACAGTGTTATACTGACGATCTGTAATGAAAACACAGGTAGAGTGTGGTAGTTTGAGTAGTTTAATTGTACCTTTTTCACAAGGATAGTCAGTCCCTGGTATTTGAAAGGCTTGGAGAATTCTATGTACTGGGCTCGTTCGTTGTTGATTGTCAAGGGAGCAACAATCATATCAGCAAGGCCACCCAGGAGCTCACCCATCATGCCGTTCCATTCCTTCTTGTTACTGTTATTTACCTATGACACGAATGATAAATAGAAAGCAAAATGATTAGTTTTAGTGTGATTTTTTAATATGATAATCAGGTTGCTTATACTTGACAAAATAGAAAAGTATGCTTACTCTTTCCTGTGTTCCAAATTTTCCATCTGCCACCAGGTGTACTTCATAGGTGAAGTTCATGGTCATTGCCAATTTGATCAGAAGGTCAACGCAAAATCCGTAGCAACATTGGGGAACAATTGGGCGTCCTGTAACCAAACCAGAAAAAGTGAAATGTCATTCCATCTGATAAAGTTACGTGAGGAAATTCTATATTTTGAAAGCCCACCACTCTTACTCCACTCACCCCAATGCACTTGGTTATTCAGAGATTGTCTTTCTCTTTTAGATAGCAGTGCTCTCAACTGTTAGACAGCATTGAGGTCTGATCAATTCCATTTCCAAATACAGCCTTCGCCCTGCTACTCAGTCAGTCATAGATTGTTTTGCAAGTATAACTGAATAAAATATTAACAAGCTTTGCGAATAAATTTGTTCAATTCATCTATGGTACTGGCTGAATTAAAGTTAAGTAGCTGCAACTAGCCATACATAGACCATAGCCAGATGGGAGCATCAGCATCTAAAAGAAGTACAATCCTTCCATACTGACTTTCACACTTTACCTGTAGCTTATCTAGGCTGCAACACAAGGCATACCCACAGCTTTTACTATACGCAAAGCAGAATGCTACGATGGAAGCCCAAGCAACACACAAACATTGTTTGCAAACATCCAGCACATGCACACACATTTTGCATCAAGCAAAAATAAGTCACTCACACACACACGCACAAATCGCCTTTCAAACAGACTTCCACACAAACTCACATGCCCACAGTCAAGTCACACTTGCTACATTCATACATATATAAATACCTGCTGCATATATATGTATGTATGTACAGTATGTATCTCCAGACGGCGGATGTAGAAAAGCACAGTGACAATATAAACGTCCCTGATGGGTTACCTGGGATGGTCTCATTTGGTCCTGTGCAGATCACCTTTTTAATTAAGACTCCATTAGGTGTGTACTCTTCCTTGCAGGTCCCCTCCAGCGTAGTTGGCTTCACATACACAAAGGGTTCCTGATGAATGGTCACTATCTGCAAAAGATGAATGTGATTGTATTCAGTTTTCCAATATGAAACATATATCAAGGATTCAGGTAATTTTCTGAGTCATGGCCCTAATTTGTTTTGCGCGTCCTTTTTTCCTTCGTACCTTTAATCGAGTAGACATCTGGAATCCTCTCGGTCTCTCTGTTTCACCTCCAGGCCAAATGATCTTCCTCTGCTTATTCATCACCACCTAATGAAAATAGTTATAGTTGATAATTAACAGGTTTATAGTCATAGTCAATCCTCTAATCTGAAATAATTTGCCTATATAAATTCCAAAAGTGCCATTACAGAGTTGGCTTCAGGAGGTATGGCTTGAAATTCTGTATTTTTAAAAATGTATTTTTGTATGTGTCACAGAAACTAATGCATGATTCATTACCCATGTCATGAAATTATAAATTAAACACTGAAGGAAGACTTGTACTTGTGTTCCATTGTAAATGCCGACTTGAATCAGTCTGCTCTTCTGGTAGTTGAGAATGCTGTAATGAGCGTATTTTCTGTCTCCGTCGTCATTGAACTCAACGCGTCCTGTTAGGCCCTCTGGATACTTAGAAGACATCAATACCCTGTGGAGTTCAGCCAGAATTGACATGTGAGTAACTTTTTGTATATGGATGTGATACATGAATTGCATAGATGAAATATCATGTGATGTGACAGCGCATTAGATCACATTGAACATCTGCTTGTGGTTGTCAAAACCCATCAAAGAATGAGGCGGATGCCCCCTCGAGCCGGACATCGAGGGAAATAACAACAAATCATAGAAAATTGAATAAACAGGTCAGCTGCATGCATGATCTTAAGTAGAGCTGACCTTTTAAAGAGTGGCCCGGTCTTCCAGATGTTTGTATTGCCCACGCAGCCCTTCGGAGGTTCTGTGATGTTCTCTTTCTCAAAGAGCTCTTGGATTGACTGGGCTACGACGGCAACAGCATCGCTGATGTGTGCCGACTCATTCTTGCCGTTGATGAGCTGGAGGCCGATCAGCCCTATGTGTCGACGTCAAAAATGAAGCAGTGAGCTGTTCACCCGTGACATTTATGAACCCTTTCCAATGCAAAAAACCCATAGGGTCGCCCTTTGTGCCAACATGGGTAAATGACTCTCAAATCAGATGTCAAATCATGTTTTGTCAAATTTTTTCCACTGGTAGATTCAGCCAATTAGAGTCAGCATGTAAAATTAATAGTTTTGTCCTTTGTAGGTATGTTACTTGAGACATTTTGCCCAAATTGCAAGCTTTGACCCTTGAGGTTGGATTTAATGAACTAAGCCCACTCGACTACCTACTCCCAAATGGTAAGTCCTGTCCAATTAGTGAGGCACTAACACACAGTGATTGATGAAATATATTAGAATTAAGGCATTCCTCATATATAAATCCAACTTCAGCTGAGTTTTTGTTGTTGGAGCAGGGTTTGAAAGATCCAGTTCTGTAAGAGATCTCCAAAAGTTTACTGTGAAGACTCAACAAGTGTGGACAAAGACAGGAAAAACACTGCCAGGGTAAAAGGTGAGCAAGTGTATTGGGAGAAACAACGACAGTAGTGTGAACTGGTGCTCTTCGTGTGGCGGTCGAAAATTCGTTTTTTTAATTTATTATTTAAGTGAAATGAATCTGGCCTACTATATTTTAGTTTGATAAGGTTTTTTATTTCATATTTTGTATTTATAGCAGATTTTATGGTAATATGTTTCATTTATGCTGTAGTTATTATCCATTTGTTTACTTTTTATTCCGACTTAAACTGTCATAAATCTTGAATGTTTTGGAGCACAGACTTAAGTTTGGTCGTTTTTTAAAGATGACACATGACAGATTATTGTTAAAGTGAAAAAAGGTTTAAAAAGTGAACTTAAACGAAGTTATAGAATTTTACATTTATTGTTATAAAAAATGCAATTTAAAATTTTTGTATGAAATATATATTTTATCAAAACACATTTACTCAGAATTAAAAATCAAGTTGTGTTCCAAATTTGAGGTTGATATCTCAAAAAATTAGCTTTCAGTAAGATTTTGTTTGGGCGCAATACCAGAAGTTTCCACTAGATAAAATTAGTTTTCCATAGATTTCAGGTATTTTGTATGTTTATTTCAGATTTACCTTTTTTTATGTCTATGATTTTTTTGTGTTCACTAGCAGCAAATGCCAAAATCTTTAACATTACGATAAAGTATAAAATAAAATAAAACATGTCCGATAAAAAATGTCAGAAGAGCACCAGAGGGTTAAAAAAGACGTTACTTGTGCAGTGCCTGGGACAAATAAGGCCATTTATAGCTTACCAATACCAGAAACACGTCAAAGGTACCCTTTATAAATTCTTGAAAGCCAGACTATTAATATAATAAACATTACACATTTTCATTTTCAGCAAATGAAAAAAAAAACACTTAATGACAATAACATCATTTTGGTAAGTTCTTAATTAAATCTCTAGAGGTCACCATAAGTACATGGAGTAATTGTAACTAATCTTGCCAGTGAACCAGAGAATTCAACCGTTATGGTGTAAACTACAGTGACTCGTTTAAAACCTTTAAACACATAAAGTGCTTAAATGTTTAAACGGTTAATTTGTATACAAACACACGTACACACACTAACATTCACAACTCGCTTCATCAATAAAACATCTCTAGTCAAAGGTAAAAGAACAACTGAGACAACTGGCTTCTTTTCCTCTGCTCCCGTCTCAGTTATACTGAGGCGGGTGTACAGTACGTACCATCAGGGGCCTCGCTCAAAGCTTTACCGGACATCTCACGCTCCCCGACCAGCCATACATAGCCTGAGCCTGTCATGTTCAGGAAGCGCGCTGTTTTGTACACGGCGGCTGCATCTTCCTCACTAAAGGCAGATAGACAGGTTTACAACCACTGACAGAAATATGAGAAGCTCACTGAAGTATGAAATTGCTTTGTGAACCCATTGTTTACACTTTTCAGTATTATTTATTTCAAAGTTTTCTAAGGCTCACCCTGCTGAAAAGAGCAGCTGGGTAGAATTGTTTTTGTGCTGGTCTTGCAGGAGGCCCAAGCAAAACCTGCAAAACCTATCGCCGACATGGATTTTCTGATAAAGTCTTGCTAGTTAAGCTAGTAGTTAGGTTCAGTACAAGTCAAGCTCAAAAGCATTTGTGGCATGTTGATTTGAAAAAAATCAAGGATAGAGTGAGGCACAGACAAAGGAAGTAAATGGACCAATTTGTTAGTACTCTTAATTTTATAAAAGCACATTGTACATAAACTCATCTATTAAATCTCTAGGCATATTATTTTAGCCATAAGTAGGTCATTTTTATGGCCAGTTTAGGCCATTTTTTAAAATATATTCTCATGTCAAAAAGCAGTGTTATTTAATTAATTTATTTATTAATCTTATTAATATTTTAAATTAGATTTTATTTTTTATTTTATTATAGTTTCAGTGTTCATATTCATTTTTATTTCATTTAATTTTAATTCAGCTTTTTATTTATTTCCAGTTAGTAATTTTAGTGTTTCAACTAACCTATTTCAGTTAGTTGCCATTTCTAATTTTCATTTATTTTTTCATCTCATATTTATATTTTATTTCAGTTATGAACAAAAAATGTTTTTAATAGTTTCAGTTAATTATAAACACCCTACAATGAAGTTGTAAAATTGAATATAACTTGACACAGAAAGGGTAGAGGTTAAGAAAAGGAGAAACCATTGGAACTTCCTTTTGTGATAATAAACAAGCCACAAATTCGGTACATTTACATTTATTCATTTACCTGACGCTTTTATCCGAAGCGACTTACAATTACTATATATGTCAGAGGTCGCACGCCTCTGGAGCAACTAGAGGTTAAGTGTCTTGCTCAGAGACACATTGGTGTCTCATAGTGGATTCGAATCCGGGTCTCTCACACCAAAGGCATGTGTCTTATCCACTGAGCCATCACCACAACTTGGCTTGTATTGAACCTAGAACGTTCCCTTCAGAAACGCAAGCAACCAAAACATATGCTGGTCTATTCAGCAGGGTGAAAAGAATAAAAGAATAATAAGTATGTGGATGACTCATTCTAAATCATTACTCTTTTGCAGGTAATTATACAGTGAAGAGCGATCTGCAGAGATTTTGGCGGGCTGCTGAGATAACATCATGCGGTAACCCTCTTACCTGGCTGAGAGAATGATCACTCGAGCCTCCAGCTCTTTGGCCTCCAGGAGCAGAGCAGTTAAGTTAGTCTCTTGGTTGAACTGAAGCACTTTCTCGGCCTGAGATTGGGGTACACAATCAGTCAAATAGGCTATTTACTTCCATAACTGAACCATGCTGCCTCATTTAGCACTTTTGGTTGGTTTTGGTTGTTTCTGTTTTTTGTTTTTGTTTTTGGGAGGGGGGGACTGAAAAGGGGGGAAATTATAGAGTTCCAGGAAAACTGCTTCAAAATGAAAAATAAAAGTATAAAAAAGCTTGAAAAACAAAAAAACTTCGGCATTGTCGCATGCAAACTGAGGGTTATCAAGGCTTCAGAGAAAGGACGTGCATGTTAGAGGTTTCGGGGAGTGAGACCGATGCAACCGGAAACTAAAACCAGGTGGAAAGGGGGAGTGACAGGTGAGAGGACGTCATTTCCCCAAAGAAAAAGAGTTGAGAAAAAAAGAGCAACAAGGGGATGCTGCAATAGGAGGTAGAATCTGAGAGAGTGTTGTGTCCCAAACTATCTGATCTCCACAAAGGAATGGGATTGCTTTTTTCTTTTTCTTTTTTTTTTTTTTTTTTTTTTTGAGTCATGCATCATCCTTTATTAAAAAGGAAAAAATGGTGATGAAAGAAGCGGAGCGTTTTAATTTGTTTTAAACGGAAATAATAATCGTTCAAAAGAAATCCATTCTTCATTTAAATCATAAAAAAGGGAAAAGTAACTTCTCAACGTAACAAGAAACACGTGCTACCAAGAGAAGGGCATTTCTGGGTTGGCCGGTGATTGGTTGGGCTGTTTCTAGTAGCTACGTTTAGAGATTTTGGAGGGCGGCGTGCATTGACCATGCAAATATACCTTAGGTCCTCTCTTGTTGTCATAGGACAGTTGGTCTTGGTTTTCATAGTTCCTTTTTTTATTCTGATGAGTAATGTGCACAGAGAAAATATGCAGACACAGAAGAATATTATAAACAGTTGAAAATGGTGGGCAGTAAAGCAACCAACAAATTTTCACTTTTCTGCTCCAAATTTGAATCCCTAACACTGGGACTTGCAAAAAACATCATAGACATCGTGTGACAAGATCGTAGACCTAAACCGAGAGATGGCAAAACGCACCAACATTATAAAACGTTTGCCGTTTCCATCAATCCAGATCAACTGCTTGCAGCAGCGCGTGAATGCCTACCGAATTATTCTTGTGACGTTACTTCAAATTCAATTAAGATGACAGACTGTGACGGCCTGCCAAGTTAACAAATGGCTCGATAATACTGCAGATATTTCTGAGTGCTGTACGATTGCAGAAGCTCACTAAGAGGACCTTTTTCTCCGGCACCATCTTGAGTTCTGCTGTATTTTTTGAGGGCAGTGGTCTCGTGGGGGAAACCCTGGCTCAAACGGTGCCATTTTGCAGAGATATAAATAAATCTCCCATGCATAGACACACAACACTGCCCGAATACCGCGACAGACCCGACGTGCTCTCATGCGATTCGCCTTTCAAGCTTCTGAAATTATGCGTGACCTATATGTGTGTCGTGACATTTGCTCATTATGGCACCTCAAAGGAAATTAGAAAGGTGAATACACAGTGGCCTTTCTTGAGCACCTCTTTAACCAAACTCATGCTGGAGCCGTGAACCCCACTGGAAATAGCTCTTAATAACTGACACTTGTGTAAACTGATAGTAGGAGGAATATGAAAATGATCCTTGGCGCATAGTGCATAAAAATAGAGTCTCAGGCCGAACTGCATTAGAATGCATTACCAAACAAAAAATAATGTGAAATTTCACTATTGTTATGTACGTGCAGCAATGGTTGGATATTTCCTGTCTTATTCATATTTATATGACATTCAGATATGTCAGTCTTGCTTTGATCTCTCTATAACTATTAAAAGTGATTATGCTATACATATTTTCTTAAAGTCTATGCGAATTGGTGTTGCTGAAACTTTAACTATTTGGTTATTATCCAGTAACTCAAGCGGCGTAAGTCACTTTAGAGGAATAGCCATTTCAGAGCAAGTTATTGCATTCTGAATAAAGATTATGATAACAAACATACCACAGCTACCATGATATCTGGAGCTACAGTTTTATACATAAATTAGAAAAGAGGTCAGAAGTACGATTAAAAATACACTGTTAGAAAAATTCTACCTTTAGCTTAGTTTCTTGTGTTAGTGATACATCATTGTGCTTAATCTAACCCTGAAGGGTGCATATTAATATCAGGTACAAAGGCGTATCTTTTAATGTATAGTGTTGGATCACAAATTTTTTCCCTGAAAGTTTAGAGAGAATGATGTTCTGAATTCTAAAATGGAGTTGCACCTCTAATAAAAAAAAGAGAGCCTGATAGGAAAGCACATTATACGATCACCACAAAATGGCTTCCAGGTTAAAGAAACACTATTTTATAAGTCGATTCAGAGGGCAGTAGCAGAGCATAAAAGGCCAAATAAAGACTTTTTTTGAAGCATAAAAGAAATTTGACATGTACATTGTTTTAAAATATCTGGAAGAAGGTTTTCCTGCGAACACTTGATGGGCTTTTTAACGGTCTTATAAAAATGTAAATTCATTCCAGTGTGTACGGCTTCTCTCGACTGCAACACACATGAAAAGGACCCTCTAAAATATGATGTGAATTACTGTGATTTTATCTTCACAAAGCCTTAATCAAACATAATTTTGCATTGCAGTAAATCAAAAAGCAGAAGCTTTTCATGCATGAGAAATAGCAATGAGTCATTCCTACTAATGACTCAAATGCAAAATGTGATAAAAACCTAGGCAAGACAAGGCAATCAAATTGATTTATTTAGCACATCTGTGCTTTGAATTAGAATATTATAGAAGAAGAGAAATAAAGAGAAATGCAAATCAAGTTTAATAATTTACAGACATAAACATGCGTAGAAAAGCATAAATTTTAAAAAGTATATTTTAATGCATCTTGCTTATATATATATATATATATATATATAATTTTATTAAAATATATATTGTATTTTTATTTTATTAATATAATATTTGTATAGGTTTTCAGGGTGTTGTAAATGGTACAATAGATTAAAGTTGTTTGTTTAAAAGCTGTGGTGGAAATCACCCATTTTCATGGTAAGGTCAATTGCTTTAAAATGAATAACTATATTTATATGAAATATTTAGTCATTACATCAATTTTGTGGACACATTCTGCCCATATTTCATGTCTTTTCTCTAGGACACAGAGTAAGTTGGTGACCCCTTGAAAAAAAAGAAGCATGATGCCTCTGATAATAATAATAACAAGAAGAAGGGTAAAAGAAATTCCAATAAAGCAGGGATGTGGTATTTCAACAGTCTTCCAGCACCAGAAACGTCTCTGTGGGAAAGTAGCTCAATTCGCACCATACCTAAATAGTTTCACTGTTAATAATCTCTCGCAGCAATGAGGGCAACAATAATTACCTCAGCGCCGAGCAGGGGGGAGGTGGGATGGTGATTTAGCTTTCATCCCATAGGAAACTGAGCAGAACCTCTGCAAGAGCAAAATTCCCACAATGCACCACTGCATGAAGCAATCACATCTTGAACCACCTCATGAGACACTGATGATAGACTTATATCTGTGGCTCAAGGCTATAAAATACCAGTTTATATAGTGTGTAAACAAATGGCATAAATATGTAAAGAGTCACTGATGCTTTGCAACGCCCCAGGTTATGGTTTTCATTTTGCTCCTGTTGTGGATAGACACAGGAGTTTTTGACTATGGTTGAAAGCAATATGAAATGAGCAAATAACGCACGTTTAGTCAAATCAGACCACATTAGACATGGCTGACGCTTTTGGTTTTAGAATGTTAGCCAACATTTACAACATGGCATGAGAGATGTGATCACATGACAAAAAAGTAAAACAGTTACGTACATAGAAGACCTTTGCGATTGATACACACACGTCTGCATACAAGCACGCACTGGGAATCCTGGAACTGAAACTAGATCTTACCTTGGTCTCTCTCTCCTCTAGAAGTGTTTCTAGTCTTTTCTGCGCCGCTCTGCCTTCATGGTCGTCACTGACGATAAGAATGATGTGATTCCAGCGGAATTCCCTCATCATGTCAAACCACACATGTGCCTGGTGGGAATATGGTGGTACTGTACGCAGAAACGAGAGATGGATGCTCTGGAAGAAGGATAAAGAGATAAGAAGAAAGGTGGGAGACATAACGTTTCAAAATTACACTGTTTTTATTTTTGTAAAATTATAAAAGGGTGTTTGCTGAACTACAGCAGTTTTCACTTTGGTAATTTTTTTTTTAATTATGGCTTATGAAAGAAGGGTAGAAAGAAAAACAAAAGCTAGTAGATGATGTTTAAAAATTTGTCTTTTTATTTTAGTGATATATATATATATATATATATATTTTTTTTCATGTTAATTTTAAATGAAAATTGTTCATGATGTTTAAAAATTATAGTCTTTTTATTTTAGTGAAATAAAAGGGTGCTTTAGGATTTTTTATATATATATTTAAAAATGTTCATTTTAAATAAAAATTGTTCATTTTTAAAAATTGAAAAAAATCCATTTTAAAAACTAAAATAATGTATTGCAAGATTATTGTGTGAAACTATTGTTCAGTCATTCTGAACAAATCGGCTGCATGAAAAATTCAATGACTCAGTCATTAGGAATTATTTTGTTGAATCAGTTTTTTTTAACTAATCATTGAAAATGAACAATTTAATAATTCACTCATAAAGACGGCGACTGCATCCAAAATCGCATACTCTCTAGAGTAGGTACTTATTTAAAAAAAAATTAATTAGGCTACTTTGCGACTGCCAAAAATAATATATTCCATATAGTATGATTAATGTGTGTATGTAATCCTGACGAAATGCATTCGCCATGTTGTCATTGTCATGTAACCTGCCACATTCGTTAATTTTTAACGGACAAATTAAAAATGTATTTTAAAATTTATAGAGACCAGTATAGTTACAGCCTATATAGTTATGGCCTAAACAGAGACCTACAGGTATATAGTTGAATAAACACCCAAAATGATTCATACTCAAACTGAATAATTAAATTTCTCTCTTAATACAGCCCACCTTGTCTGAGTAAATGGACATCCTGGTGGTGAGCCCAACTACAGGTATGCGGTAGAACCCTGCGGTGTAGGAGACCGGCGTGGGCGTCAGATGGTCATTAGATTGTGGTGGATGGCTCACCAGGATTGCGTACACCTGCAAACAGGACCACAGAACTGGCTTCAATACAAACTAACTGTCGAGACTGGATCACAACGGAGTGATTGGTATGACTCATGGATCTGGGCTCATTCTCTGACTAAATCAATAAATCACTTCACAGTCAGACAGATTGACAATTTGATTGATTGAAGGATCTTTCGTTGGAGCAAGAAAGTGCTTCACTTCATTTGATTCATTTTCATCAGCATATACAATACAATACAATATACTTTATTGTTAAATTTGGGTTTTTGGGTCTTGGGTTTAGTGGATCCTGCATTTCCAAATCACACAATCAATCAACCAATCAATCAATCAATCACATGTATTTCCCCTAAACACTCCATATGTAGATGGGTCAGAATATGTAAAAAGGCCACTGTTATTGCACAAATAATGGCTGCATTAACCATAAGACCAGCAATAAATAACAATAACCAACAGTAAGTAAGGATTATAATACAAAGAAATAAATAATGTTAGATAATCAGTACTAAGCATGGAGAGACAATCATAGATAGATATATAGATATATGATTCAGTCGTTATTTTTGTTTTTCAATAATATGCTATTTTGAGAAGGAAAAACAATGAGAATAAAACATTATTTTGGTTTGGCAACATTATGTATTTCCAGAGAGACCCTCAGAGGCACTGGCTCCATCTGTCATAGAATGTCTCTTCTTCAGAGTGGGCAGAGACATCAGTGAGCCAAAGGCGATACTGACTGAGCGATACAGCAGTTTCGCATGGAAGAATCTCACACAGCCAAATGAATTCAGCAATTATCCTGACATCCTGCTAACATGCTACAACCTTACAACCCCAGATTTGTTGAAGGTATGTACATAATTGAGTGCTGAACACCCATTGGGTTGACCGGGGGAGGTTGCTGTGAATATTAGCGAGAGAATGAGCGAGGCAGAGCGAACAGGACGGGAGGGAGTGATTCATGTTCTGCCCCGTTTTTTTGTTCAGCGCAGTCTCCAGCCCTGAGATAGACGATAGACTTCTACCTCAGCACATTTGTTATGACATCACCGGCCCAGAAAGCACTTAAAGCAGAACCGCTTAATGTGATTTTTGCGTGTGCAGGCTTTTAATGAAGCAACGCATCAGGCTGAATTACTCCCACGAGTGTGACAGAAGTTATTCAGAAGTGAAAAAAGTCTCTCATTTACACTTCATGTAGGACATTGCTACTGCAGTACTTGAAGGTTTCTCCTCTTACGCTTCTTAGGCTATAGCATGCTATAAAAAAAACCCTCAAAACTGAATGATACATCCATCTTTGCATATCTCAACAATATTTAAATCTTAACTGTTTATTCATATTTAACTTTAGCAGTGTATTTGCAGTGGACATTATCTGAGGCATCCTCCTCAAAGACATCTTCGCAGATACTGATGCTATGTTGACCCCTCCACCCCCATCTTTATTTTCATCAAGCACAGTAATACTCTGTGAAAATAGAAACTGCTTGCATTGAAAATCATTGATTTTTCATGCATCACCTAGTTTATTTTGCAGCTGCTGCCCTAGGCGATGAGTGTGGAGGGAGATAAGTGTGGTCATCTCACTCATTTCTGACATCAAAGCTCTGTGGGGTCAGCTAAAGTGTGTTAACCTTTCCTCCCTCCGTGAGTCTATTGACCCGTGTGTATCATCAACTGGCAGGCCGTCCTGTTTAGACATCTAAACGAGTTACGCAGCTTCAATCTACTGCCACAATCCAAAACAAGTTTCGACTGCCCAAGCGATTCTCCACAGGTCAATGCCTACACTTTTTAGTTTTGTTAACCAACCTGAAAAAATGTGCTTTATGTGGTAACATCTGAATTTACAGGATTTATTCAAGTCAAGAATTTTATTGAATATGAAATTAGGTTACATTTTAAGACATTTTAGCTATTTTAATGGATCCTTATGCATGATATCAACTGATAGATTCAGCATATGTGTCTAAAATGATAAAACACCCCTCAATATGTGGTGTAAAAAAGGTTTGTCTAAAAATATATACAACGTTTTTGCCATCTAACCAAAAAATGTGCTTCATGTGGGTGGATGAATGAATGAATTTGATTGATTCAAGTCAAAATATTATTTAATATATCAACTGATTTATATAATTATATATGTTATGTAATTATACAAGTTATATTATACAATAATCAATCATTTTTTAGGGTCAAATGATAGATTTTTTCCTTCTCTAGTTTGTACAGTAGGTTATATTTGAAGCTCTTTCTAATGCACACGTTTGCATATTTAACTTTTCACTAACTAAAAAAAATGCTACTTGTAATGGATAATTTCACGCATTTCAAAACACTGTCTTATGAAAGCTAAATAAATTAATCAACTCTGAAGGGTGCATATTGCATGTACATGTTTACCCCTCAGGCAACATTTACTGTCATGTCTAGTCATATAAGGCTAGATCTTGCCACATGGAAGTTCCACAGTGCAACGATGTTGCTAAAAATCCCACCTGACTGGAAATAAGATCCTCACACACAGACAGCGCCATCTGAATCGCATTGGGTTTGTGAGTGACAGAGATTGCGGTCAGCTTGAATTTATCCCTTCCGTACACCTGGTTCGCCTGGGTGACCGCATCTTTGAACACCTGCTCGTATCTCTTCTGGCTCAGAACAGCCCCGATGTTCACAATCTTGGGCTCGCAGCCGCCCCGCACGCAGGAGCAGGAGAACAACGCAGCCAGCAGAAGCAGACGCATCGTGTGGAGGGCCAGAAGAGCGCACGGAGAGCCCCAGTATCCTCCCCTGTTATCGCTGCCGGAGCCTCGTGTGGGGGCTATTCGGTTGAGGAGATTGAAAGCAATGTCCAGTGTGGCAATTTTTAGAATTCCAGTTGCGAAACGCACTCACACTGCGGCGATGTGTTCATGGTGCCCTGTTCATTTAGGCGATGGCATCTGAGAGACCGACATTCACTGCAGCCTTTTTCTTAATTCCCCCTTAAAGTCAGGCTGCAGACAGACAGAGCAAGAAAGTCACATGAAGCCTGGCAGCGGAATTCAGTGATGCGTCTCGTGTCGTCCTTCTCTTCTATTTGCGCGTCGGCTGCTGTTGTTCTGCAGCGGAGCTGTCCTTGGTGCTGACAGCTGTGCGCGCACTTTTACGCGCGCCCCCGCACCTCGCGTTGGCGTTGTGCTCGAATTAAAACGCTTCGATGTCACAAACAGCCCATGCGTGAAATTAAAAAAGAGGGAGAATTGTTTTTCCATTTGAAGTAAATGGGAATTGTGAGTTTTCATAACAGCATAAACGGGTATAAAAAAAACATGGTTTTGACAAGTCTCGCGTCGACCATTTATCATTATATATCACCGATAGCCTTTCTGACCATTTACTTTTTAATTGAATGGATCTAATACGAGTTACTGCTTTACAAAATAGTTGTCAACTGTTGATTTAAAGTGAACGCTTTATACGATAAAGGTAGCAATAAAAGGTCTATTATTATTGTAAATTGCCCCCATATAAATCATATGTGAAAAAACAGAGGCCCAGTGGTTTATTCACATTTGGAAATTTCAAATGATTGAATTAAACAAATTTTAAAAATCTGTTCTTGGATTACTATTATAATGTTAATTTATTGTTTGCTACTTTCCATTGGGTGCAACTGTTATAACTGTGACCATAAATTATTTTTGTTTTATTGGGCTATCCAGGAAGTAAAATACATGCTCCCTTAGAACATGTAGAATTAAATGGGTTAAAAACTGGGGTTCAGGCATGGTCAAACTTCTTTACCAAGACAATGTTTAAGACAAAAAAAAATATATAAGAGAGGCTCAGATATAAAAATTAAAGTTCTCCAAGGCTTAGCAAAGTAACCTCTCAGCAAGAATGCATTTTAACTGATCTTTAAAGCACCCACATATGACTGTTTAAAGGTTCTCCTTGACTTTTTGGCTCCTATATTTTTCGATTCTACCAAAAGACTGATTGGCTAAATGTTACCACGAGTGCTTAGAGATGTATTTTAGATCCGATTATCAATAATGTAAGCACGGCATCTATATTTCAACATTTTCAATCATGACATCACTTGCTCAGTCTCTTTAAATGTAATTGCATAAAGTGGCAGCAGGTCTGAGAGAAGTCTGCTTGCTCTGAACATCCCCGGCTTTAAGTGCTATTTTCAAAGGGCATGAAAACTCTATTTTTGCCTTATTTTCAGAGATCCATTTTTTAATGCATGTCAAACCTTCAGACAAAAGCAGTGCTTTGAGAAAAAAAGTGTATAACGCTTGCTTGCGGGAGACAGGGTAGCCCTCTCTATGCAGGTGCATGCGCTGAGCAGCATTATGCACTGGTAGGCTCATAAGGACAAAAGGGGAAAATGGTTACCAAGGAAACAAGCCTCTCTCCTGAAGTGTGAAGTTTCAAAGTATTCACATGTAGGCATTTTGTACGCGCTGGCAACGTAGGGTGTTAATGAGATGAAATAACAGCAGCGTGCAATAAGCATGCATTACGAATCATTGAAACACCTACAGTAATGCCGACTTATTAACATACAGATTTTCTCGTACACGCTCTTGTTTTGTTTTGTGATTTTTTGTCATGCTCCACTCATTGTGATTTGATTTAATTTCCTCCGTGTTAGAGAACCTGCAATCGAAACCGTATTAATATTTGATTATCCGTGGGAACTAATCCAGCTACATGCGAATGTCACAGTCTGATATGAAGAGGGGATTCATAAATTAGGTCACAATTGATCTAGTTATTCCGCCGACTTTAAATAATGAATCACGCGCCTCAGGGGGCGTGGGGGGCGTTTTTTTTTTTTTTTTTTTTACTATGCATTTGAATTATGAAGTCTCATTTTAGTTTGTAACATAGAGCAATCTTTAGAGATCTAAAAAATATATATTTTTTGGGGGGGTATTCCTTTTATGTTTTTAAAACGGATTAATAGTTTAGCCGTGAACGCGCTTTTATTGGCGCGTGCTACCTCTCAGTCTGGGGTGTTGGAATACTTGGACGTCTCTCTCGCTTGCTGGGAGTCACACAAAAGGGTGACCAAGCGACAAGGTTCTCACTGGCCTTGGTCGTATTCTGCTCCCTCCCTCTTCCCCCCACTCCCACATCTCTGCACATCAATACAGCTGGGCCAGCCAGCCTGCACTGCAGCCGTTATATAATGACGCGCTCCTGACACACACACACACACACACACACACACACACACACACACACACACACATAGAGACGAACCATTTACCAAAGAATAGTCAAGACTAATTAGAAGATGACAAGCCTCTCTCTGTATGTGTGTGTGTGTGTGTGTGGTGGTGGTGGTGGTGGGTGGTGGTGGTGGGGGGGGGGGTGTTAAAAATAATAGGCAACATTACATAAATATTATGTTAATATATAAATATAATATAAATTCACACGAAAATATTATGTTAACCAAAACTTTGTTGGATGTTGATTGTGAATCTATTTGACAGCACTATATTATAGTTTATTACTTTAAAAAGGGATACTATAAAATGGTTGATGTATAACCTCTGGTCACAACAGGTCTTGTAGAAAAAAAACATTATGTCAAATAATATCCTAAGCATTTAAACAGATTTTGACATATATATATATATATATATATATATATATGAAGAGTTCAGATGCAAAAGCCTCTAAATGCCATTTGAAATTTTCTTCTTTATGATGATTTTTATCAAACTTGTATATTTAAGTTCAGTAATTTCACTTAAATAACAATTAATAGGTAATTATCATTGCCATTTAAGTGAAATCACTGAACTTAAAGGGTCACTTCACCCATTTGCATTAAGCTTTGTATCTTTAGAAACCCAGTCATATTTTTGAATGGTCATGGTTTATTCCCTTATTTTCCCTGAGATGGGAGAAATAAGGATTTAAGTGTTTTATTTCCTGCTTATCGTGACGTAAAAATCGTCATTTTGCGTCACGATAAGCAGGAAGTCACATTTCATTGAAATGTCAACAGACTACAATGATTAGCTCATTATTACTCAAGGGTGTGGCACCCACTCACCCACAGGCCTATTACAGATCAGTGGGTGGGACTTCACTTGCAGAACCTGAAATCAATATCCGCCATCTTGTTTGGAAGCTAAGCTAACAAGCCCTGTGGAGATATGAAGTTATGATAATGGAAGAAACTAAACATGATATGGAAGAAGAGGGTTTTTGAAAGTCTGCTGCTTGAATCCGATGTTCGTGGCTATCTTTACGAGCTGCGGTATAGTTTAGAGCAGCTGAGGCTGATGGAGGAGCAGGAGACGCCCGGACTGGGTCGAGCTCGGCGGCCTGCTGTTGCCTGTAAGTTACTTTCGCTGCGTGTCACGGCCTACGGACACAGAGTCCGTCTGCTGCAGAGAATTTCAACGATGGCAATTTCTCCTGGAGGAAATCTCTGAATCAGACGAGCACACGGACGTTTGTGTTGTGATAGTTTCGCCTTCAGAACATCCAGGTATCATGCAGTAATTCACCATACAGAAATGAATACAAACGCGGAGTAATTCACTAACGTTAATGTGTTTACAAATGTAACGTGAACTGGGTTTAATGTTGTGGGAAGAAAGAGGCATGAACCGGCGAACATTTAAACATTTTAATAGTAAAATGAACAAATACAAAACGAAAGTAAGCCAGCGTTATACACAACAAAAACAAAACATAAAATCAGGCCTGTTTCTCTCTCGATCTGCCGTCGTCGCTCCCCATTTTATGCATTCGCTCCTTCTATTCGTGAGAGACGCACCGGCGCGCGCCTCACAGGTGTCTTTCATTATCACTCACGCCACCGGCCTCGCGCAGCGCGCCGTCCTCTTACATCCCTCGCCCTCGATCGTCCTGTTCGCCACAGGCCCACAGCCAACTAACTAGACATTTTGTTTGAAATGAATTTCAAACTCTTACTCTGGTAACTGTTAGCGTTGTAGACGGAAGAGTGTGTTTGCGTCTCTGTTTGCGCTGTTCCGGTGGGTGGGTTAGTGGGTGTGTCTTGCGGAGCTGTGCAATGTTGGGGAATTCTGGGAACTGTAGTTTTTTAACACAAAGGCGCCCCTTGGTTATTTTCTGTCTTTTCTCAGTCAAGAGGGCACCAAATTAAAAAATGATTTTACATTTCGACTACATATATGATCCACTTTCAATAAAGATTAATGTTGCAATGGGTGAAATGCTCCTTTAAATATACAAGCTTGATAAAAATTATCATTCTAGAAGAAAATTTCAAATGACACTTAGAGGCTTTTGCATCTGAACTCTTCATATATATATATATATATATATATATATTTGTCAAAATACACACGTGTTTATTTAAACTAATATATATAGAGAGAGCAATCTTTAGAAATACATTCTCTATAAATACAATCTTTAGAAATCTTTTTAGAAATACATTTGTGCCATGTCAGTAGCAGCCCACAGCTATAATTGTCTTCTCAATTTCATGAGCATAATATTATATTTACTATGTTTTTTTTTTTCATCAAAATGCACATAAAGTATTTGCGTATGCGACTATTAATCACGGGGGCGATGACATGCATCATAATGCATGCATAATGTACAAACACAAATTAAGTGTTGGAAAAAATTATTGTTTACATAATGTCCCACTTGATAATGACAGTATTGCATTTTTTAAGTGTATTGCTTCAAAAACCCAGAATTATTTATCATATCGCCTGTGTGTGTTTTCAGGCTGGTAATGGGTTAAGAAGAAACCTTTCGCTGCTGTTCTGGTGTGTCCTAGATGCCAGCTGAGGACCAACATGATGTGTTTCTCATGTATGTGGTAAGTAAATCTATTATTGATGACTGACCCTTTCATATCTGTCCTTCTATCGCCATAAATAGTGACTTTGTCTACAGTAGCACTGCAAATTGTGTGTGCAGCCTATAATGCAAAAATGTCTCACATAAATATTCTACAGAATGGAAAACAGTAAAAATATCTCGCTCAGACGATAGCCTCTGCCTACAACTGTAAATCTTATGCGTTTTCTGGAAAGATTGGGTAAAATAATAAAAAACCGGACGACAAACATCGTGGGGTAAAGTATGCACACACAGAAGTACTGTGGCATTGCACCAACCTCAGAGGGTTGCTATGGTTATAAATGATGTCCAATCTCTTCTTCAGAAAACTAGGACGCAGACCAAGAGGAGAACTTTCAACCAGCCAAATGTTACACCAAAAATATGCTATTTAAAACCAGAAAAAGGACTGTCTGTTCTTAGCACTATTTTTGACTGTTTTAATCCATATCAAAAGACTGTGAGGATCTAGACAATGATATATGTGGCTCCGTCGGTGAATTTGAGACGTTATATTATTTTTAAACCATATACGTGTCCTAATTATTGATAAAAGGCAACAGGGAAGACTTTACAGTGTTTCAAGGTTGTGCGTAGTGATAATTGTTTATTTATCTTTATTTTACTCTGAAAATTCTATGTATTATTTAGGCTATATAAAATATAGTTTATTAGAATGATTTGATTTAAAGGATAATGTAAATGAAATGATGCTGAAAATTCAGCTTTGCATCACAATAAATTACATATTAAACTTTACTGAAATAGAAAACAGATTTATTTATTTATTGATCATATTTAGGTTAGGTTTGAGTATCAAAATGTGTGCTTATTTTAAAATTGTATTATTATATTATTAAAATTATAATATTATTATTATATATTATATTATATTATATTATATTATAATACATGCTTAATAATATAATTTACGGTCCAGAACACCTTAGCAACCGCATAGCAACACCCTGGCAACCACCCAGAACACCCTAGCATTTTGGCAACGGGTTTTGCATGGGCAAGCACCGCTCACATTTATTTTCAAAAAAATTTCGGTGGCATCTGTTGTCAAGTTCAATAAATTAGTTCACAGTTGGAGTTCTCGTCCTGAGGCTAGTTAGCAAAAGCAAACAACAGGGCTATCGCAAGAATGGCAAGGAAAACAAGAATGAGGCAGCTGTGTTAAATTGCATTATCCAGCATTCCTTAATCTCATTCGTCAATTTGCACAAGCCTCCAAGGGAGTCTCAAATGAGTAACAACCGCACATATGACAATTATGAAGTTTTTTCTATAGGTCTCCCAGAGTAAAAGAGGGGTTTTCTGGCGACATACTAGGAGGCATTTAACACGGCTAGAGTCTGCAGCACTTTTGGCAGTCTTTATGATCACAGTTCAGGAATTCCACGCGATGCTCGCCCGTGGAGCTGTACGATTCATTGCAAATTGGGCAATCGGTGGATTTGGAGCTCAGGCTGGCCATACTTTCCACACATGGTGGTCTCGAGCCATCAGATTCCTGGCTTATTCTTCTATATGTCATGCTGATCGTTCCATCTGTCGGAATTGGTTCTGGCTCGGTGCACGGAATTCCCTGTGGAATCTGTTCGCTGAAATGTTAAAAGAATCATCAAAAGAATCAAATCATACCACCGTTGCATCTGTGTTCAACATCACTGGACTTCCACTATTAACTCTTTTGCTTTATCGTGAAGGTTATTTAGAGGTAACAGAATAGTTTTGTCATTCTTTCAGAATCCCCATCAGGACCATCTGCCAGTGCTTGGACATGAGCCATTACGGAAGGTGATATAAAATCCGATGTCAGGTGAGTTACCTTCAGCTTCTTTATTGTCAGATCAGCATTCCCAAGGTCAGAAGCTGCACTCAGAGTCTCAGTACGTCAGCGCTTTAAAAAACTTGTCCTACTTCCAAAGAGCATGTGATCAAAGCAACATCACAGACACAGCCTGAAGTTAAAAACCTCTTGCGTTGTGCAATATCCTCATTCAGTCTATAAAGAAACAATGCCAAAGAGGCATTCTATTACAGCTGATGTTTTTTAATGTGAAACCTCTCTGAGATATGCAGTCCAGTTCAAATGAATATATATGAAATAGATCTGAGAACCAAACTAAATGGTCATGTACAGTCTATGAATATTACATCTCAGGCTAATGCAATAATGCAAATAATGCACATAATCAGTTCCCCAGAAACTTATTAGGTCTAATTTACATTTTACTGGCCTAAATGCTTTATCTGTTTGCAATGGCTCCTCCATTGTATAGATTGGACACAGTTGTAATACAATATGCAATTTACTAATTTGCATTCAAGAACATCATTGCATATGCATTATCTCACATAGGCAGGCTAATACAAACTAAAAGGCATTGACAGTGCAAAAATGAGGTAAATAAATAAATAAAATAAATGTAAACAAATAAAGAAATCTGCAATTCATAACACACATACACACACATACAACGATTAGCCAAAACAGTATGACCAACTAACATGCTGTCGGCCCTTCCGCCTGATGCCCAAACGACGCCGACCTGCCTAGGCATGGACTCTACAAGACCTTGACGGTGTCCTGCACTCTCAGAAAAAAGGTACAAAAGCCATCACTGGGGCTGTACCTTTTCAAAAGGCAAAACTTTTGTCCATTTTAGGTACTAATATGTACATTTTAGGTACTAATACACTGTAAAAAATATTTTCAAGATTTGTTATCACAACATTTATTTTGTCAAATCAACTTTATAATAATTTATTTAGTTGAGATAACTTATTATTTTGAGTTTCTGTCATTGTATTAACTCACTTTTTCCAGTTCAATGAACTTAAAATTTTAAGGCAACCAGGTTACTTACTTTTTTAAGTTAAACCATCAATATTTTTTTACAGTGTATGTACATTTTAGGTGCTAATATGTAAATTTCGGGTGCTAATATGGACATTTTAGGTGCTAATATGGACATTTAGGTGCTAATATGTACATTTTAGGTGCTAATATGTACCATTAAAGTACCAATATGCACCCTTTAGGTACTTTTGAAAAGGTACAGCCCCAGTTACAGCTTTTGTACCTTCTTTTCTGAGAGTGTGTGGTTTTTGGCACCAAGACTTTAGTAGCAGATCCTTCAAGTCCTGTAGGTTGCGAGGTGGAGCCGCCGTGGATCGAACTTTTTGGTCCAGCGCATCCCTCAGATGCACAATAGGATTCAGTTCTGGGGGATTTGGAGGCCAGAGCAACACCTTGAACTCTTCATCATGTTCCTCAAACCATATGTGCAGTGTGCATTTTCCTGCTGAAAGATGCCACTTCCACCAGGGAACACCATTGTCATGAAGGGGCGTACCTGGTCTGCAACCATGTTTAGGTGGCACGTGTCAAATTTACGTCCACATAAAAGGCCGGACCCTGGGTTTCCCGGCAGAACATTGCACAGAGCATCACACTCCCTCCACCACCAGATTGTTTCCGTCCCACATGTACACGACCATCCACATGATGTAAAAGAAAACGCGACTCATGGACCAGGCGACCTTTTTCCACTGCCCCAAGGTCTAATTCCAACGCTCGCATGCCCAGGGGTCATCGTAGGAACTCTGATTGGTCTGTGGCTTCGCAGTCCCGTAGGCAGCAGTGTTGTTGACACATTCCTCCCATCATTAAAATCTTGCTGTGCCACATTAGACTTCTGTTGGCTCGGACCAGTCGGGGTAGCCTTAATTGCCCTTGTGCATCGATGAGCCTTAGGTGCCCAACACCCTGTCGCCGGTTTGGGGTTTGTCTCTGCTTTTACCACTGTTGGTAAATTCTCATCTCTACTGACCGGGAGCAACACACAAGCCTTATGTTTCAGAGCGACTCTGACACAGTTGTCTGGCCATATCAGTTTAGGCCTTGTCAAAGTGGCTCAGATCTTTATTTCTGTCCATTTCCGTGCACCCAACACGTTGACTGCGAGAACCGATTGTTTGCTTCCTATCTAATCTCCCCAGACCTTAATATGAGCCCTTGATTAATTCACATTTAACTTGTTTAATTCACATTTATTTCTATATTGCTTTTCATCTCCTTATAATAAGATAATCAACGATATTCACTTCACCTTTGACTGGTCATAATTTTTTGGCTCAGTGTATACACTACCAGTTATAAAGAATAATTATAAAGCATGAAAGCATGATTTTTTAAAAATGACTTTTTAGAAAGAAGTCTCTTGTGCCTGCATTTATTTGATATATATATATATATATATATATATATATATATATACTGTATATATATATATAAGAGTTCAGATGCAAAAGCCTCTATTGCCATTTGAAATTTTCTTCTAAAATGACCATTTTTTTCAGAAATTATTGAAACTTAAATATACAAGCTTGATAAAAATGATCATTTTAGAAGAAAATTTCAAATGGCAATAGAGGCTTTTGCATCTGAACTCTTATATATATATATACATGTGTGTGTGTGTGTGTGTCTAAAAGAATCACTATTTAATTATAGATTATCTCATTCAGAGTCCCTAGAGCCTGTCAGCCTGTCACAGGGTCTGTCATAATTTTCCTGCCCTTGTTTTGCAGCAGCCAGCACAGAAAGGCTCAGTCTGTACACTACAGCCATGTTATTCTCTAGACACTGCAGGCACGACAGGAGATGAGTTGTTCAGAAGGCTTAATTGACCAGGCCGAAACATCTGCATACTAGCATATGTTTAGGGCAGTAACCCAGAATGATGATCGCTCCATCTAGATGACAATCAGGATGTATTAACAGGGCAAGACCATATGGTGCATGTCATAGACACATCCTATCTGTCACCATGGTCAAACATATTCATTAATGCCACTTAGTGTTATGAGACAGACAGTGGATGGAATCAGATGAACTGCACTGGAACTGAACTGCACTGCCGCAATGTCCCTTTTGAGAGGATAACCATTATTGATGGTAATTGATAGGAACTTGTCCAGTAATTGCACTACCTACTTGGCAGCTATTTGGTGGACACTAATTTCCACAGTGTGTTTTGGTCTATTGGATAATGGCAGGCGCCTTTAGTAACAAGCTTGGAGAATAAACAATTAATTACGGTGAAACCTGAAGAAGGGCAGTCAGCCAAGTCCTGTCAAAGTAAATAAAATATTAAGCTCTATCTATCTATCTATCTATCTATCTATCTATCTATCTATCTATCTATCTATCTATCTATCTATCTATCTATCTATCTATCTATCTATCTATCTATCTATCTATCTATCTATCTATCTATCTATCTATCTATCTATCTATCTATCTATCTATCTATCTATCTATCTGTTTTTAAATTATAAGAAATAATGTAAATGTATATACTTATATTATATATATTATATATTTATACATATATATGAAGAGTTCAGATGCAAAAGCCTCTAAATGCCATTTGAAATTTTCTTCTAAAATTATCATTTTTATCAAGCTTGTATATTTAAGTTCAGTAATTTCACTTAAATGCCAATGAAGATTACCTATTAATTGTCATTTAAGTGAAATTACTGAACTTAAATATACAAGCTTGATAAAAATGGTCATTCTAGAAGAAAATTTCAAATGGCATTTAGAGGCTTTTGCATCTGAACTCTTCATATATATATACACTGTGTATATACACACACACACACACACACAATTGTATTTATATTATAATTATATATTTATTTCCTACAGCATGATTCCTTAGAATAAGGCCCATTCACAAGAATGATAACTATAAAGGTAACTGTAATGATAATAACTATATTAGCATCTACACTAGTGGACGATTTCGTTCTGTTTATTTCAAGTGTGTGGTACAGTTATGGGAAAAGTTATGTGCCAAAGTTATCGTGCAACAGTTCATGTATTTCAGTAATTCAAATTAAAAGATGAAACTAATATATTTAGTATATATAACAATATAGGGCCGACATTTCTGTATTTAAAATCCTTTTTTTTTTTTTTACTCTTTTAATGTAATATTCGAATTTTCTGAGATTTTGAATTTGGGGTTTTCATAAGCTATAAGCCATAGTCATCAAAATTATAACTTTTGCACAATATTCAAATTTTTCGAGCTTCATCTGTACGTATCTGGGGGCAGAGCAACACTCGTGCATTATTCAAGGTCCATCTAAGAGAACTTCTGGGATCTTCCTTTTGCATTCAGTGTGCACTGGTTTGTGTACAAGACCTGGTGCATCTGCAAAGACAAAGGCAATTCTGGGCTTTCGCTTATTGCTTACTGAAGCTGACTTTCAGACAGTCCAAACCCAAGACTGCAGTAGCGTGTAATTCTGCAATCAGCAAGCACAACTATTATTTACTGACAGATTGTCTGAGGCACTTCAACAAGGAGGAACGGTCCTTTCGATGAAAAACAAGTTACCTATTTTTAAACAACACACTTGGACAGACATTTATAAGCTCATACTTTTAAGATATGGAATAAAAAATAAAAGTGTAAAATCCCAATGCACATGCACTTTTATTATGCATTTGCTTTATTATTGTCTTTGCACATGTTTGTTTAAACAATGTTTTGTTAAAAAAGAACTGCAAAAGAAATACATAATTATAATTTTTGCATTATATATTTTTCTTTTTTTTAATAAACAAAATATCAGCTTCGGTTAAAAAAATATTGGTATTAATGGCCTTTTAGCAACCCATTTGGGCTGAAGCGTAGTTCATGTTCAGAAGTCCAGAGTGTCGTGCTGGTAACGCAGTTGAGGGCTGTTCTCGCTGTAGAACTGACTGAACCAGCGTCTGTGTTTCTGAATAGCAG